TCAGTTCCCGCTGTAGCTCTGACAAATCCATCTTTCTCTTCGGGGTGTGGCCATTTGGGATTCCCCTTGAGTCATCGCTGACGCTGTGGGTGTGGGAATTCCCTCTTCTCTGCGGTCCTCTGAGTCTGTAAAATGGTAAAATGGCGTTGCTTTGACAACAATTACTGTTTCGCGTGTATTCACGTGACGCGCATCTTAAGACCAGGCGCAGCTACGCCCGAGACTAGGTCAGGCTTGGGTGCACTCGGTGTAAATTCGAATCACTACGTCGGACGTAGCTAAGCCCCGATGTTAGAGTTAAGCCCTACTTTTTACGCCCAGCTGGTGCACTCCACTCCAGGAGTCTAGATTAGAAATGAGGTGTAAAATAAATGTACGTTCTTAGCTGTATTTGCATCCATAACATTAGTTTCCTCATACCACATTTACAGAACCTTTTTGGATATAATGTTACAACGTAGTTTGAGTGTGTACTTCAGCTACATTTTTTAGCAAAGACTTTAATGCAAATGCAACATGAATGTTTTCATAGGAAGACCTACTCTAATAGGTAGCGATGATAGTCTAAATAACGTGTTTTTCTTTGCAGGATACAACGAGAGATGAGGCCCTATCATCCGTCACTGTTGGTGTGCTGACTGTTCTCAGCGAAGACAATCCTCAGGAGGGTCCGAGCTCAATGCAACTCGAGCCTATCTCCACTGACATTGTGCTTGAGGGAGGTATTGTCATGGAAAAGATCAAAAACTTTCCACAGGCCTGTTATTTGGCCTGATATATGCTTTGCATTTAGATCACCCAAAATGCATGGCAAATACTCTGAGGTTCGTTCAAACAGTGATGCTTGGACTGGGAACCAAAGCTCTCTCACCTAAACTATTAACTTTGAGAAACGCTCTACTGGATTAGACCTTAGTCAAGATAGTCATCAGCTATCAGATAGAACTTGGCACTTAAAAAAGTTGCACCGTTAAATGTTATGACAAAAGTTTGTTACTCTGGGGAAACTGTTATAACTCTGTCAATTGTTGAGAGCAAAGTACAATGTACTCTTCTTCATAGTGGTCATTATATATTTTTTATTTTTACAATTGGTGTGTTGTGCACTGCTGTTTTTATTAAGATAAGGGTTTTGAGTACTTAAAAAGCACTGTTTGTTGGCACTTAAAAATAAATGTTATATTGCAATTGAATCAATTTGTGTTTTTAATGCATTATCTTTGGAGATTGTTGGAGTTTACACAACGTGTTTAGAGATTTGTTGTAGTACAATTATCTTAGTTAGCAGGAATTAGTTTGTTTAGTTTAATAGTAAACCTTAGAAATTACGAGTTAGTAGAATTTAAAAGGGTTAAGTTCTGGTGATTTGTATATTCAAGTCGGGTTTAATTTGTTCATTGAGTTCACACAAATAAAATAAAAATAGGTTAATGCAAAGCATGCCTTTTAAGTTTACATAACTTAGTTTACATAAGTTTACATAACTTAAAAGGTTTGTGTCAGCTGTACTTCTCAAAATTAATTGAAGCACACTTAGAATACACAAGTTGTTCATACTCACCATGCTAAGTTAAGTTAACTTACTTATTGTGAGGCAACGAGTTTGCATACTTTTTCTAAGTTACCACAACTTATTAAGTTTGTGTTTATATAAATGGTGTTGTTTTGTGTGAGGGTCGCTGTCATTGATGCGTTTTGCACCCCGGGCCACTGTTTTGATATTCCGCTGAAGTATACGCTGTGACGTAATATCTCTTGTTTTTTTTCGAGGGAAGGGGGGGTCAGAGGGCCTAGGTATAAAAGTCACGGCTCGCAACTGCATTTAGTATAATCAATATGTGTGAACCTCCACCATTAAACTGTCATATTCTGCAAATTTCTTATACTATCTACATACATCTTATAAGAGTATAATACATATGTATAATATCAGTTAAAATAAGTGCTTCAACGTAGTTAACATTGCTGGAGGTACACACACATATTGATAGATGTCTTGTAATGCACTGTTGAGGAACCTGTGACCCAAGTTTTTCATTCAATGCATAACTACACCATAGTTGTGTAGGCCTATATGATATGTCAATAAACCTTAGAAAATCTTGAAATCTTGAAAGGGATGTGCAAAATAGTCATTATATACAGTGTTTAATTAACTATTAGTAGAGAATAACGAGTAATGAATATACTTTATAGGGATCCTATTAATATCTAATAATACAAATAATGAAATTCAATAACATGCTTTAACCACTAGGTGTCCCTTTATATCAGCTGTGCACCTTTATGGTGTAAATACAGCCTATCTACCAATTGGATCAAATATAAAAGTCAGCCGAATTAGTGTTGATACTGCAAGGAGACGTATTGTGTGAAAAGAAATGTAAGATGTTGTTTAATTGCTGATATATTTATGATCCACGTCACGTTTTCAGTTCCTCATGTTTGTCTAGAAGTCTTCTCATCAGGGCTCTATAAATACAGAACTACGGCAGATATTTAATATTTAATGCAGCCGAACCGTGTATTACAATGCCGTTATGTGATGACTTTCAAAGAGAAAAGCAAGCACACTCGGAAAAAAGTATTATTTTTATTTTTTTAAATGTTTTCGGTCTGTTTCCGGTATTTGTTTATGATGATGTGCTGTGAGATGTGAGACTGGGTTGGAGAATTGCACAGGGGAAAATAACGTATCTATGCCACAATTTTAGATGCGGATTTTGTTAAACTAATATGTTTGCGCTGTGGACCAACACTATAACTTGATGGGGAAGGGGGTAGCAATAAAGATAACACCATTAAACAGTTACACAACATAACAGAAATAATATCAATAGCAGCGTCCCTAGCAACCACCTTGGTAACAATGAAAACGTTGAATGGACAGAATTTCCTGAAGTAATCTTCGTAATAACTAGCAAACTAAAGATCATGTACATCCGCTGCACACATAATCTGAAATAACAACTCATATTTCTCGCATCAAATGACATCAAAACGCATTTTAATGGCCAAACTAACCTTAAAATATAGGCAATTTCCACCGAGAATAAAACGAATGTCGGCCATGTTTTTTTTTCTGCAGGGAGAAATTTGAAGATCACGTGACATAGACGCCAGCCATTGGAATGAATGGTGAAAAAAAACGTAGGGATCTTACAATTTCAGAAGCGTTTTTGTAGAAATACTACGTCCCAAGTTGTGGACCAACGTAGTTATTACACGTTTTTTTGTGAGACTGTAAATCTGAAAAAGGCCTTTTTACCAAGGTCTGAACAATGTTTAATATCTCTAAAAGTAAGAATCAGATTTAAAAGTTGTGTTACACGAATAATGTCTGAAAGATGTGTAACATGTTAAAGTTGGAATGAGGTTTCTGAGTGAAAGTATGAATGAACAGTTAGCAGTTGAAGTCGCATGAAGATTGTTCAAGTCTGAAGAGTTTCTCCATTGACTTCAATGGTTGAAAATGGGATGTATTATGGGATGTATCTCTGGAATTATGAAAGTTATGAATGATAAAAGTAATAGCCATCGATTCCCGACCGAGTTGAACGTTTTGATGTTCGAACAGAGTTTCTGCGATGTTCAATGTGGGAGAAGAAGAGGCGCAAAATAACCCAGCGGAATAATAAAGAATTTTGTGCGTAGCATAACAGATAGTTGGAATGCTGTGTCAGCATTCCCACTCAAATATTACATACAGCATTGCATTATGAGTTTTAGACAGAGTTGAAGGTAACTAACTATAAGTATTACTCAAGTACTATACTTAAGTACAATTTTGAGAGACTTGTGATCTACTTAAAGAGGTAATTTCCAGGTTCGTATTTTGTGCCACATGTCTCCATGCTTTAATGTTCAAAAAGCTCTTTATTTTTCTCACACTGCCTGTGCTGCAGCACCTCTTTTCACCCTCTGTCTGAAACCAGAGCCCAGCTAACCTCTGATTGGTTAGCTGGCCGGCTCTGCTGTGGTTGGTCAACCGCTCAGAGATGTCCCATCCATAGGATATTCAGACAATAGATCTTTCCCATGTATCTAATTTCTCCTCCTCGACTCCTATCCTTGTGTCTTAGTCCCGCCCGCAGGAGATGCGAGCGGAGGACTGAGGAGGAGAACCGAGGAGAGAGGAGGGGAAGCAGCAGGCGGTTAGAGAAATGAGAACTCCTCTCCTCTGAGCGGTCATTTTAAATAGACGTCCATTAATGATGACAGGAGGCACAGCAGCCCTCTGTCTGATGGACAGATGTGTTCATGATGACTTATATATTTACTTTGATTAATTCACAGTGCGGTATAATGAGACAATAACAGGCTACAGATGTGGACATAATACACACACACACACACATATATTTATATATATATTTATATAGGACATAATATATATATATATACAATTTCAGAATCAAACAAGTATCAGAGCACTCATAATAACGTAACACAATCAGAGACTGGATATATCGCTCCCCCTCTCTGGTCGCTAGGGGAAATTAAATTACGGGCCAAAAGTTGTATTTACAAGTATTAAAAGTAAGCAGAGGAACCAAACCAACTGAGACCTGTCTGTCCGCCGCTCGATGTGCATTTAGAGAAATGAGATGTCCTTCAACATGGCGCGCTGAAATTCATTTCCGGGTCACTACCGGAGGACCGAGGAGTCGAGGAGGGGAAATTTAAGAATTGAGAAGCCTCTGAGGAGTCGGAAATTAGATAAATGGGAAAGGTCCGATGTGTTGAAGCCAATAGAATTGCAAATGTTACACAGTGATGTCACTATGTTACTGTAAACAAAGGAGTCTAATGGATGCGTTTTAGGCAGAGGGAACACAGGGATCTTAGCCTTTGCAGACAATTTACATTCACAAAAACCTATAGAACACACTACAGGAAAGGGAATCCCCAAAAGCAGAATAGGGCCCCTTTAAGTAGTGGATTCGGATGGATTCCCTCCTGCTGTGATGACGCGCTGTGATGACGCGCCGGAAAGCGACTCGAGTTCAGTGCAACTGAATGCAATCCTCTCTGCGGGTGGAGCGACTTTCTCTCGAGCGAATTGTGAAATCTACCGCTTTCTAATTCCTCGCTTTATGTCTGCTGGGTGTGTGGGACTCTGAGCCTCTGAGGAGTCGCTGTACAATCATCCTCCTTTAGGATTTGACTTTGATTTGAAGAATATTTCTGAATCCAATGTACCTGAAAAACACTCCCCCGGCTCTGACAGACCGCGGGAAATTGTCGTTACTTCCTGTGCAATGAAGACTTGGCGCGACATTACAGTTGTAAACAACAGGAGGACACATAACAATAGCACAACGAGTAAGTACACCCATTCACTGCTTGCTAATTGTTACTTTGTTTTTAATAATAAATGTCCGGTGCATATTGCTTACATTAGCATCCCTAACTTCTGAGCACTTTCTCCACTAACGGTACATTTAGTCCTACAAAATGCATGGTAGCAGTAAAGTTAGTACAGTGGTTTAACTTATCCAAAGTTGACCACAAACATCAATAACCTTAAAAATGTGTTGCATAACCTAAATCAAGTGTACATTTCCTGTTGAGTTTGAAACAGAAAGATATTTACATCAATGCTAGCTTTAGCTCACAGTGTCAACGACAGATTAAAGCGATGGACAGACCGTTACAGATAAAGAAAACTACAGACAGGAAGGAGTGTTAGCTACTAACTTTCTCTCTGCCTAGCTGTTTTATGTAAAAGGTTTTGTTTTTATAAGTCTCCTTTGTCTGGACAGTAACGTTGTGAACAAAAGAGCTCCAGCTAACTTTTATCTAAACCATGCTAATAGCACAATGGCTCACAGCCTCCTTTTGTCCACTACACATAATGCCTAAAGTATGTTAACCTCATACTTTAGTGCATTTTTCAGTGAATATTATATGTAAGAGTGGGCTATATATACAGTGGTGTAACGTATTGAAGTATATTTACTGTCAGATTTTGGGTATGTTATGCTACTTTTGACTTCTACTCCATTACATTTTAGCCAACATAAATGTTACTAGTTACTTTTTATATTCACATTATAAGCTAATACAACATTTACATAAAGTAATACATTAACTTTTGGAAAAATATGAGAATGAAGAAAGGTGATTGAAGATGAGAAATGATTGTATATGTATAAATGTAAATGTATGTAGGAATAACTTGCATAATGATTTAAAGGACAATCATTGATCAAGTAAGGGGTGGGAATTAATAAGCATTTGTTCCTCCTGCTCCCTTTCGGACACATATGATTTATTATTATTAATATGAAGACTTTTTTTGTTGAATATACAAATATTACCATGAATGTGGATAAATACTGTATTATAACAATACGGTATTCTGTTTTTCACATTTGTTATTTTTTAATCTGTTCGAAATAAAGACTGAAAGAAAGAAAGAAAGAACTATGATAATATTATATTATAGGTGAAGATATTCAGTAGCAGTATGTAAAGAAATATAAGTAGTAACAAGCTGTGATGGACACTTAAATGCATTAATAATCATAATTCAGTGTTTTAATATATATGATTCTGAAACTGGAAATGACACACAATAAGTATTTTTACTTTCAGTACTCTAAGTGTTTGATGCTAATACTTTTGACAAATCAAATATAGCCATTAAGCAGTTTTCCTTATTTACTTTGCCTACAGTTACATAATATTTCCAAACCAGAGATAATAAAAACTAGCAGGGTAAAAATAATATGTTTTACCCTGCTAGTTATGCTAGTTTGTATTTTCCATTGGAGCTGCAGTAACTCCTGAAGGTGTATGGTGTTAACAGCCATTGGTGTGCGAGTGTGTGTGAATGAGCAGAATAGAACCTCCATCAGTAAATGTATCTGGTATGAGTAATGGTTGGCATGTGGTTTAAAAGTTTTTTGACTGGTTGAAAGACTATAAAGGCAAGTCTATTTGCCATTATAGAACCAATAGCATATGTTTCTACTCTAGCAACCTCCACAACTGTCAATGTGCAAGATGAGAGAATCCTGGCCACCTTTTCAAAGTTTTATCAGAGCCACTGAACAATTGACATGCTGACTTTAGCCTTAGTGTAACATTGGTATCTACTCTAGAATCAATTAGGATTTAAATCAGTTCTAGTTGAATTGTTGTCTCGCCTCTGCCTTCAGTGTGCATTAGCCATTTGCTACAGGATCATCTTCAGCCTGTGTTTAGTGTGGTCTGGCTCATATGTATAGACTGATGACAACTTTGTAATTCTCTTTTCAGGAACTGCATAAGGAATAGAGACAAAGTGATACCTGGAAGAATGGATGACTTTGACATCAAAGATGCCCCTGGCCGTAAGTTAAAAACTTCACGCAAAGTTGCATTAACATTCATTTCATATTGTATTTGTGTAATAAGTAATCCTAGAAGTAATACTTATTTTAATAATATACCCCAGAAAGGGGTTTCTCTGCAATTGGTATTAAAACAATATTTGATATATTAACACCTTGATGTTAACACCAGAGGAACATAACTGATGACAGACATGAATGCATGTTCATATCCCCAGTCTTTGTACATGATGACAACGAAGACTCAGTGGATATCTATGATGGCCTGGACCTCAGCTTTAACAACAACGCAGGTAAGAGTCCTGTTTGAAATAGATCTGCAATGCCCCAATATTAGTATCACCAATAATATTGTAGTATCTAGTAGTGTTGTCACAATACCAACATTTTTGTTTCGATACCAAGTCAAGAATTGCTTTTTCGATACTTTTCTTAAAAAAGGGGAAACCGTCTTAAATGTCATTATTGTGCTTTATTTCAAACCTTGAAAAAGGTTTCAGTCATAACACACACTTTTGAACAATGAGAACAATAGATCAAATAAATGAAAGCAATGGCATCCAAGGTCAAATGACAAGTGTTATGATATTAGGGTCATGCCGAGTCAGATCGCTTTCCCTTTAAGAGAGAGAGAGAGGGGCGTGCATGTGTGTGTGTGTGCATGGTAGAGCGGGCGAGAGTGAGCGAGCGGTGATATGTGTTTTGAAGTGAACGAAGCAGCAGCAAAATAGGTCTGTCGAGTGTCTTCAAAGTTAGATCTGTAACAAAGACCTTAATAAATGCAACGGTCTCCCAAAGAAGAGCTCGCCTGTCTGCCTTATTGAACCCGAAGTTTATTGCTTCGGCCCTGGAAGACTGCAGAGAGTCATCCCCTGTTTTCCTCGACTGCGGTCTGGGAGCCGACAGGAAGGTTTAACACAAGAATCCGTATTTTGTGTTTGTATACTAAATATGTATATCCTATATACACAATCAATGTGTCTGTTGATTGTGTATATAGGATATACATAAATGTATACATATCTATATATTGTATAATTTTATTTTCGGGATTGTTGGAAACGTCATTTCGATCTCTCTGTAAACACAAACTGAGTAAGATTGACATTAAAGTTGACCTTGACTTTGATTAACTAAAATAGCAGCATCATCATCATCTCAAACAACAAACACAGTCTCTCAAGCCCCTGACACACCAAGCCGATTTCGGCTGTCGATAGATGTCTAGCCGTCGATGAGTGTCCTGTCGCCCTACTAAGATTGGTGTGTCCCGCCCCGTCATATATTTTCGGCCGTGCCGACACCTTCCGCAGCCAAATCGACATGTTGAATCGGCTGCGGAGGCTGTCGGCAAAAGAAATCACTCTGATTGGCTGTTCAGCTTAGCGAAACACTATTTGCCTGAATGGGAGTAGAGCAGTACAGTACTTAAAGGGGACCTATCATGCAAAATGCACTTTTGTATGTCTTGTATACATGAATATGTGTCCCCGGTGTTTCAGGGAACTCACCAAGTGTCAGAAAACACAACCCTCTCTCTTTTCCTCCATACCCAAATCTCTAAAAACGGGGCTGCAACAGATCTGATACAGACTGATCCAGATTTGAAATATCTCTGACGTCAGAAACAAGGAGCTCCGCCTATATGGGCAACTCTCCACCTATCAGGGGAAGGAGAGGTTGCCATGGTAACAGCATGGTAACAGCATGGTAACATGGCTCGTGCTGGTCGGCTGCAGCTCATTTGCCACAGAATCAGCCCTTGTGAAGACAGGGCTGGAATATAGTGTTAATTTCGTTGACTAAAACTATGACGAAATATGTTCGTCAACGACCTTTTTTTCCATAACGAGACGATGACGAGACGGCACCGACGGCAGTAAACAATAACTGTAACGAAATCATCATGCAATATCGTTGACGAAAAGTGACGAGACGAAAATGTAGTTCACTAAATAAAAACTATGCCAAAATCTCTCTTTACTTTCGTTGACGAAAAATGAGGAGACGAAATATTATCAAAGATAACGTTACATCTCTGATAGTCAGTTTTTCTCCCAGCAGTTCCATTTCCGGTGCTGCGGCAGGGCAGCAGCTGTGTGTCTGCGGTGCGCGCGGCGGTAGATTTGAATTACACCGGGCAGCGGCACACTGTGAACTGTCAGGAAGACTCGGGTCTAACTCATGGTCTAACTAACCTTATTCAACATAAAATAAAATGGCAACAACAGGGCATGGGAGCAGTGGTCGCACTCGCGTTAACCGAAGACCCCCCCCGTCAGCGCGAGTGATTGATAAATTGTGCACTCGACGGGTAATAATGGATTATGACGGAAATGTTACGATCCGTCAAAATGACTGACAACGAAAAAGTCTAAAGCCACCACTGCTTGGGAGAAAGAAACGATGTGATATTTGGGCCCATTTTCGCTACAATGAGGCGGAGAAAAAAAGCGAATGCATTGTTTCATCAGAAGGGAAGCAATGTGGCCATAACACAGCTGGTAAAAACACCACAAACCTGAGCAGATACTCTCTTCAAATCATTCAACCTGTTTTTCATCAAATAAGGACAAGATATAATCTTATTTATTTATATATACTAAAATGACAAATTATTGGTTTTGGCTAGACTAGTTTGACTGAAATGTTCTATATAATCTGATGACTAAAAAAGACTCAACAGTTTTCATTGACAACAAGTAGACTAAAATAATTAGTTTTCTTTGACTAAAATAAGACTAAAATGCTCAGACTTTTAGTCGACTAAATCTTGACTAAAATGTTTACTGTTTTAGTCGACTAAAATAAGACTAAAATGCTCAGACTTTTAGTCGACTAAAACTTGACTAAATAAAAACAGGATGAAGGTGACTAAATATGACTAAAACTAAAAAGGAAATTTAACACAGGACTAAGACTAAAACTAAATTAAAAAATAGCTGACGAAATTAACACTACTGGAAAGAGCAAATAGAGCGAAATGAGGCATGGTTAAAATGCATGATCTGTTTGGTATTTTGAAAAAAAAAATCACAGACATGTTTTATGGCGCGTTTCCACTGCAGCGGGTAGCTCGCTTTAAGCGCGCCGAGCCGTGCGGGGCCCGTTTTTGGTTGCGTTTCCACTTGGCCTAGTTTTGGCCCGAGGCTACTTTTTCACCCTTTTTCTGGCCCGACTAAATCGTGGTTCTATCGAGGCCAACAAGCGGGGCCAACAACCGGGCGGAATATGCTAAACTAGTGACGACTCTGATTGGTCAGAGAGAATCGTCAGAGAGAATCGTCACAATTCTCGCGCGACTTAATCCCTAGTGTCGCATATATTAAGGGACGCTTGCAGCATTTTTGTAAACCTAAGAAAATGGCAAAGAAAAACATACCGTGGTCGATTGACGAAGTTGCGACGTTCCTCCAGTTTATTTCTTATCTTTCCTTTTTTTTTTTTTATAATGTCATATCTTTTTATGCTGCTGCAATACAAACATTTTTTTATTTTGTATTTGTACAATGCCATGCCTTTTTATGCTGCTGCAACAAATATATACTTTTATTTTATTTCTATTGTACATACAATGCCATGCCTTTTTATGCTGCAACAAAAAACACTTCCCAAATTGGGATTCAATAAAGTACTTCTCATCTTATCTCTTGTTGATAAATGCATCATCTGATTTCCTGCCATAATCTGATTAACAAACTGATTTCCGTGAGCATGTAAACAAAGTCACTGGGTGGCCACTCACACACAACATTACAGTTTTGGAATCCAATCATAAACTGAAATGTACAATTAAAGGGCTTTAAATCAGCAGAACAAAAACTCAGATTCACATGAGGCAGAAGTTATAGGCCTATATTTTTCCTAAATAAAAATAGGCTACACCTAATACCATTACTAATAATATTTGTGGATCTTTAAAAACAAAAGCCTACAATATCACTCAAAAACAATTGTAAAAATAGCCCAATTAAGATCTAGATATAAACATACATGCATTTATAAAGCAATAAGAAACACCATCAGTTAGGAAAAAGCCCATAAGATAAAAGTTAATTTTAAGAAGAGATTTAAAGCAAGAAATTGAGTTTGCTTGCTTGAGGTCCTCCTCTAAAACATTATTTGGTAACTGACACATTACTTAAAGTAAAATATTTCCTTTTACAAATAAACTGGAAAAGAAGGGGGATAAGAGATCATTTGTATTTATGTTTACTTTCATATTTGCTCAAATGTTCTTATTATGGGGAAGTACTTACTGGTGCTTGAAAATCAAATATTTACTAAATAGTCAATTCTGATAACATTTTTTTGTTTAAATCATTTGACAAACACATATGTGAAAGAGAAAAATAGATTTATTTATGTTCAATACAATGTAGTAATAATAAAAACAAAACGTCACTAGCCTTAATGGCCCACAATCTTTCAATGTCGTGTTTATAATTACAAACACAAGAAATGTATATCAACTTACTGAACCATGATGTTATGAACCAAAACATTCAAGTTTCCTGTATACAATAAATATTTAGCTATTCAGGTAGCGCATCAAACTCTGAGCCGGTCGCAAGCTTCCACAGTGCGATGGCCACCCTCTTCTTTAGAGGTATACACTCGCGGAATGTTGTGTCCTGTCTCTCCATCGCTGGCCGCAGTTTGTTGCACAGGTATACGTAGGTTTCCTCAGACATCCTGAAGTTCTCCACCCACTGAGTGTGTGTGAAAGATGGAACAATCACACCCCACCACTCGGTTGCTCGGTCAAGCATCCAAACACATGGTCTGCGGTGGCAACCTAACTTCTGAAATACACAAACAAAAGCATACATATTTTAATACGTAAAAGTGGTAGCTACAATTAATTAAATACTTGAAACACTTTTGTCATATAATGAGCGTGAAACACTTTGGTCGTATAGTGAGCGTGAAACACATTGCTAGTTAGCGAACGTTAGCTTACCGAGTAGCGTTGTCGTTGAGTCGTCCTGGAGTAGTCTCTGCCGCGTTGTACGATTGCCATAAGTCTCCCCTCAGCTTCTTCTGTATTACGTCTTGCTATAAGCAGCCTTTTCCGAAACAAAGTTGTCCTTCTTGCTGTGATAAAAAACCACATACCAAGAAGCAAGGACACGATGGCTTCCACATCCTCCATTGTTGTTGTGTGTTTTGTGAGTTGTGTCGCATTGAAGATGACATCACGGCAGTTGTATGCAGTGTCGCTCCGCCCGCCAAAAAGTTGATCGCCCCGCCTACACTGCGTTACTATGGTAACTACCCCAGTTCCTAAACTGTAATGGAAACGCAGCATTAAAGTGAGCCGGGCTAAACCAAACCGAGCGAGGCCGAGCGAGGCCTGCAGTGGAAACGCGCCATTATATAGGTATGGCCCTACAATATATTATTCAAATATAGCATGATAGGTCCACTTTAAGTAAATGTACTTTACTGTCCACAATCTGCCTAGAAGTATTTTAATGTTGTAGCTGTTCAAGATGGTCATTTAATTTTTTTTTTAAATATATACTTTTAGTAGGCTAGTTAAACCAATAATAATGCTACGGCTGCAACTGACAGTTATGTAGGCACATTTTTATATGTTCTTAACGCTGTGTGATTAAAAGAATAAACACAAATAGCAGGATTGGCACACATATTGCTGTATCTTGCGGACCCACTGAAAAGGCACTTCACCAATACTGTTAACATATTGGCATAGTTCATCCCTGTGCTGCTTGGCTCGAGCTGTAGCATGTAGCTATTTGTTGTTTGTATATATCACGCAGTCTGTCTTCCGGTTGCCTCTTTTGAATGACGAATACACACTACCGCCGCTTGCTGGTCAGGAGAGTTATTGCGACTCACGCATGCGCAGTTCGTACGTGCTGCTTGGCCATCGGCTGAAGTCTTTGCGGTGTGTTCCAGTGCGTTGTGTTGGCCAAGACGCAGGAGACGTGAGGCGACACAACAGTCGTGTTCCGTCGGGACGTGTTCTTTCGTGTTTGCTTGGTGTGTCAGGCGCTTTAGAGGAGCTGACAGGCTGCAGGGAGTGGAAGCAGAGCGCTGAACACACAGGAAATACGGCTGTCGTTCTTAAAGTACCGATACTAATGAAATGGCGGAATCGTAACGTTTTTACCGGCAGGGTATCGCGATACCTTTCTAGTATCAGTGCACCGTGCAACACTAGTATCTAGTACAGTGCAGATTTGTTTGTCCGACACTGAGGCTTTTATAATTGATATGAATTGTCTTACTTTGGTTTATTACAGTGAATCCATCTCCAAATGCTTCTCGGCTGAAAGAATCACTGGACCTTTATGAAGAGATGGTCACAGAGGAGCAGCAGAGCAGAGAGTCATCATACTCTGAGGTGAGGGGGCCGCTCATCCATGCTTTCATTATTTCAGACGTGGTGACCAATGGAAATAATTCATTCTGGTTCCAACATGATTTGGGCCAGTGGTCTCAAAGCTGCACGAAAGGTCAAGCAGATCATACTTAGTAATCTTAATACAAGCTCTACATGTCTGAGCTCCCACTTGTAACCCCTGACATTACACAATGAACTGCTCTTCGTTTAAAAGGGGTTGTTCCAGGTACCTGTGATACAATGAAATAAGATCCAGGATTTCCACTTTGTGTAATGGATTCATAAGTTTGAAGATTTAAAAAAGCTGCACAAAGCATTGATAAAACAGTGTTCATGTCAAAGAATCATTACCATAATTATAAGATATTCTTTAATGATCCCAAAATGGAATTTGTTTTAATTACGAAATTGCACATAGTTTGAAAATAAAGAGTACAAAATAAACAAACATAAAATATCATTATCTCACAATATAAAAAAATAAAACGGAACTAAAAGTAAGATATATATATACAAGTCGACCGTGAAAGATAAAACATCTGTAGACTATCTGTGAAATAAACAATATGAAGGACCATATTACAGATAACGCCATTTCAAAATATGATATTATTTACATTACAACGAATGGCATATTAAATTAAATATAAACAAGAATGTAAAATGTGAAGAAAGTCTTGTGAGTTCTAAGTCCAGTTAAATAGATAAATAAATAAATTGGCAAATGAAATGGCTAATACAAGGTCAGAGTGTTTACCACTTCAACCCTCTGCCTCTTGACCCCTGCCGAGCCCACTCATGAGGGACTGCATTTTACACATGCAAACGTTGTGTTGTTTAGCAGTAATGTGTGAAGTGTGGCTGAAAAGCAGCTACAATAGACTCCTCTCTGACCAACAGTCTGGTGCCAATTGTCAATTGTTTCATTATTCGGCGTCATGCAAAAGTGTGTGTGTGTGTGTGTGTGTGTGTGTGTGTGTGTGTGTGTGTGTGTGTGTGTGTGTGTGTGTGTGTGTGTGTGTGTGTGTGTGTGTGTGTGTGTGTGTGTGTGTGTGTGGTGTGTGTGTGTGTGTGTGTGTGTGTGTGTGTGTGTGTGTGTGTGTGTGTGTGTGTGTGTGTGTGTGTGTGTGTGTGTGTGTGTGTGTTAAAGGAGCATACCTATAGAGTATAGGGGAGTTGAAAATAATCGTTTCTACGATGCGGACGTGGACGATTCGGTATCGATGCAGTGACGGAAGATAATCGGTTATAGCGTTGTAACGTTGCTTCCTGATTTTCCGGCCGCGGCTTTACTATAACGTTTTTTTTTCTGTCACTTTAATATCAAATCGGTCGGTGACGCAGAGATCAGGGAACAGACGTGACAGCGGCACAGCGGCACAGCAACACCAAACACGGAGCAGTCTGCTTTATCCACCAACACAACACCACCAGTCCAGAACCAACAGCAGAAGGACCCGCTCTGAATCACTCCATGTCGCTGCGACTCAGAGACACAGGGATTTATGTTTTTCAAAAATAATCGCGTTACAATCATGTCAGGTTTTTGGTGGATTTAATTAAGTCTTGGATTGCAGAGTATGAATGTCCTCTAGCAATTTTCAGACGATATATACGTGTGTAAAGTTTGTGAAGGCAGGAGGAAAAAAGCTTCCGCGATCACCGTCTCCTCTCCGTTCCTCCAAACCCCGCCCCCCTGAAAATAATGAGTGACAGGCTGATAGTGACCCGATAGAAACTTTATTATTCACTTAATCACTGAGATATAATGAAGCTAACTTAATCTCATACATTCATGGGATTTATGTAACAGTAAGACAGAGAATGTAAGTGTGCACCCACATGCAGTATTTGAGTTGTTATATGCTGTTGTAAATACTCCTGTTGTCTGCTGTGTTCAGACTCAAGTCCTGTGTGTGATGCCACATTCAGGACATTCTGTGTCCTTTTTTTAACAGAAGACCGTTGCTAGAAGCTGCAGCTAGACTGCAGAAGCATTCTTTTTTTGTTTTTGAGGATGGAACAACTTCACACACAGATATAGGGAGGCTAGACCTATACAATTCATTTATTTTGGTTTATAAATGAATGTCAAGACATTTATGTTATTGATTTCTGAAGCACTTCCTAAATAATAAAAAGAGAGTTCATATGTATTTACTGCATGTATGCATTGATGAAAAATAAGCCATGTGCAGTAATATAGAAAATTGAGGATGCAACGCATTGGTATGAATCGTGATGCATCGGGATATCGAATTGAATCGAATCGTTGACAGGATAATCGTAATCGTGAGACCAGTGAAGATGCACAGCCCTAATAGAGTGGTGCAGTGACGCGTCCTAAAACCCGGAAGTAAGCTGCGCATGGGTACCTTCCGGTTCCCTCGACAAAAAAGCAATGCAATTTCTCCATAAATCTATCGATCATAAATCTATCGATTAGATTTATGATTCGAAAATTATAAAAGTAGGGAAGACATGTGGAGATTATCGGATTGAACAAAACTAGGGCTGTCAGTCGATTAAAATATGTAATCGCGATTAATCAGATGATGTCCATAGTTAATTTTTTATCTGTTCTAAATGTACTTTAGAACAATATTTTTCAAGTTTGTAATACTCTTATCAACATATGAGTGGACAAATATGCTTTATGCAAATGTTTGTTTATCATTGGAACAATGACGAATATTCTCCTGAATATTTTCAATACAACAACCTGGAACCTCTCTCTCTCCCAACCCTGTGTACTTCTCTGCACTGAGCCAGTTGCTCAAACAGACAAGCCTGTTTACAGTTGTCGGCGACATGCCGCTCTTCTGTCTTCATAACAGTCAAAGCATGAGACTGAAGTTCCCACTGTGGGTCAAAATAATGCGCTGTGATGTGCAGTCGACACGTTGGATGCAATCCGAATGATCTCACGCAGCTCCTCGTCCTCCACAATGTTAAGCTGTAGCATTAATACAACCCGCTGTTACCCATTTAGCTATCGCTGTTGTTGTCCAGGCGTCTCCCCGGCAAACTTTCAAGCGTGGTCTGCCGCAAGCGAGTGGCAGGAGCGGGACTGAGCATCAGCTGTGTGCTTGGCTTGCTTTTTAAAACACCTTTTTTTGTATCCATATCTGTCGCTAGAATCTCCCACCATCCAACTAACAACGTCAAGCCTTTGGGCTCTGAAACTACGGGAAGGGCCGAGGACAAATATGCGTTAATCGCACGTTAAAATAATTAGCGGCATTAAAAATAAATTGCGTTATTAACGCGTTAACTTGACAGCCCTAAAGAAAACGTGATCCGTCTCTTAAATGTGTGTCAACCACAGACCTTATTTCGATCCTATGGAGAAATTGCATTGCTTTTTTGTCGAGGGAACCGGAAGGAATCCATGCGCAGCTTACTTCCGGGTTTTAGGACACGTCACTGCACCACTCTATAGAATATCCCCATGTTCTGAGATGCAGAGTGATGCTGTCAGATTGCCAACTGTCTATCTTTTCCTTTGTTTGCAGCTCAAGTCCAGATTCCAGGCAGCTCAGAACCAGATCAGAGAGTTGCGCAGGAGGGTGGAGCAGATGGAGATCCAGGTCGGTTGTTATCCTTTGCTATTTGAAAAATGTGGTTTTGTTTGGTTGAATATGATTGCGCTTGACACAGAAGTCTGAATTTGAAAACTAAATAATTATATAATAAGACTTATTCTACTAGTTGTTTGCTGTGTATCTTCAGCATTTACTTGGTTGAATATTTTTTTATTAAATTCAATATAATAGGATTTATTTTGGCATAAATAGAACCGGGACAATATTGCCAAAGCATAATTTCCCTTCTTTATTTCCTAGGTTGTATTGAACATGTGTAATATGCTCTGCCATTCACCAGAATACAGCAATTCATGCATACACAGGACTTGGACTGCTTTATTAACCGATTTCTTCATAGTGTCGCTACTGCATTCATATTATTCCAGTTGATAACTTCACCTCCACAAAAGTGTTATAAGCACTGACATGATGTGTAACTTCTGTCTCTCTTTGAAACAGAACACAGGGTTGAACACTGAGAACGGCCGTCTGAAAAAGAACATTTGTGCACTTTTACAAACAGCCAGACAGGAGGTGATACGAAAAGATGCTGAGATCCAGAGGCTGAACCAATTGTGAGTCATTGTTTTAAATGAACTGTTAGGTCTTTATAGATGTGTTATCTGGATTACAAAAGCTCTAGGTCTCCCTTTCCTGTGTAGAGTGTTATCTAGGTTTGTGTGAATGTTAATGGTCTGCCCCTCCCTGTGTTCCCTCCAGAGTGATTTTCTCTCACTCACCCCCCCCCCACCGCCTTAAACGCCTCCATTGGACTCCTGTGTTAACTTCCGTTCCCACACACCTATCAATCATCAAACTGTGGGGTCTTATTTCATTACGTGTTGATTTCTATCAACACGTAATGTTGTATCGATGTAGGCCTATATAGAGATGCACTACCGCAAAAGTATTCTCTGTCAGGACTTCCTGCAACAACACCACGCCGTTATCTTGATTCTGATTGGCCAGAAGACATTATCAAAGATGTTCTATTGAGAAGACGATCACTACATGACAAACGTTTTCAAAACCGTTTCTGGTCTTCGGTATTTCCAGACAAGTGGCTACTGAAATCAATCTTACTAAGTGCTGTCTGTGCAATTTACTCCGCGAGTTGGCGGACTTTATTTTGCTTACTTTAACATCATTTTTCATGGTGGGGCTAAGCCATTTCTTGGTATGGCTTTAGCCTACCCCAGCCATACCCTGGCGCTACCACTGGTGGGATGTATGGGGCGGGCCATTCTGCACATGCGTTAAATGCCTTAAATATTTTAACGCAGTTAATGCAAATAATTAATTACCGCCGTTAACGCGATAATTTTGACAGCATTAGCTGCAACACATCATATGTGATAGGCTAAGGGGCGGGACATCTCTAAGGGGTTGACCAATCACAACAGAGCCGGCCAGCTAACCAATCAGAGCAGACTGGGCTCTGGTTTCAGACAGAGGGTGAAAAGAGGTGCTGCAGCACAGGCAGTATGAGAACAATAAAGAGCTTTTTGAACATACTGATATACACCTGAACATCAGCAGGAGAGGACTCTTTAAAGTAGAGACACTACATACTGATATACACCTGAACATCAGCAGGAGAGGACTCTTTAAAGTAGATCCACTACATACTGATATACACCTGAACATCAGCAGGAGAGGACTCTTTAAAGTAGAGACACTACATACTGATATACACCTGAACATCAGCAGGAGAGGACTCTTTAAAGTAGAGACACTACATACTGATATACACCTGAACATCAGCAGGAGAGGACTCTTTAAAGTAGAGACACTACATACTGATATACACCTGAACATCAGCAGGAGAGGACTCTTTAAAGTAGAGACACTACATACTGATATACACCTGAACATCAGCAGGAGAGGACTCTTTAAAGTAGAGACACTACATACTGATATACACCTGAACATCAGCAGGAGAGGACTCTTTAAAGTAGAGACACTACATACTGATATACACCTGAACATCAGCAGGAGAGGACTCTTTAAAGTAGAGACACTACATACTGATATACACCTGAACATCAGCAGGAGAGGACTCTTTAAAGTAGAGACACTACATACTGATATACAACCTGAACATCAGCAGGAGAGGACTCTTTAAAGTAGAGACACTACATACTGATATACACCTGAACATCAGCAGGAGAGGACTCTTTAAAGTAGAGACACTACATACTGATATACACCTGAACATCAGCAGGAGAGGACTCTTTAAAGTAGAGACACTACATACTGATATACACCTGAACATCAGCAGGAGAGGACTCTTTAAAGTAGAGACACTACATACTGATATACACCTGAACATCAGCAGGAGAGGACTCTTTAAAGTAGAGACAATACATACTGACATACACCTGAACATCAGCAGGAGAGGACTCTTTAAAGTAGAGACACTACATACTGACATACACCTGAACATCAGCAGGAGAGGACTCTTTAAAGTAGAGACACTACATACTGATATACACCTGAACATCAGCAGGAGAGGACTCTTTAAAGTAGAGACACTACATACTGATATACACCTGAACATCAGCAGGAGAGGACTCTTTAAAGTAGAGACACTACATACTGATATACACCTGAACATCAGCAGGAGAGGACTCTTTAAAGTAGAGACACTACATACTGATATACACCTGAACATCAGCAGGAGAGGACTCTTTAAAAGTAGAGACACTACATACTGATATACACCTGAACATCAGCAGGAGAGGACTCTTTAAAGTAGAGACACTACATACTGATATACACCTGAACATCAGCAGGAGAGGACTCTTTAAAGTAGAGACACTACATACTGATATACACCTGAACATCAGCAGGAGAGGACTCTTTAAAGTAGAGACACTACATACTGATATACACCTGAACATCAGCGGGAGAGGACTCTTTAAAGTAGAGACACTACATACTGATATACACCTGAACATCAGCGGGAGAGGACTCTTTAAAGTAGAGACACTACATACTGATATACAACCTGAACATCAGCGGGAGAGGACTCTTTAAAGTAGAGACACTACATACTGATATACACCTGAACATCAGCGGGAGAGGACTCTTTAAAGTAGAGACACTACATACTGATATACACCTGAACATCAGCAGGAGAGGACTCTTTAAAGTAGAGACACTACATACTGATATACACCTGAACATCAGCAGGAGAGGACTCTTTAAAGTAGAGACACTACATACTGATATACACCTGAACATCAGCAGGAGAGGACTCTTTAAAGTAGAGACACTACATACTGATATACACCTGAACATCAGCAGGAGAGGACTCTTTAAAGTAGAGACACTACATACTGATATACACCTGAACATCAGCAGGAGAGGACTCTTTAAAGTAGAGACACTACATACTGATATACACCTGAACATCAGCAGGAGAGGATTATTTAAAGTAGAGATACTACATACTGATATACACCTGAACATCAGCAGGAGAGGACTCTTTAAAGTAGAGACTCTACATCAGTGACCACCAACTGGCGGCCCGCGGGCCACATCCGGCCCGCCAGACATTCTCATCCGGCCCGCACGACGGGGGTGACTGCGGCGTGGTTACTGCGTTCGCAGTAACCACTGTGTGCAGTACTGGAGTCCAACAGAGAGGCAGCAGCTGCGGGACAGTAGACTGCGTACTGCAAAACCTTCCCTCTCTTGAAGAAGAAGTGATCCTTCGTTGTGAACAGAGCCATATAATAGAATTATTCTATATATAATAATTCTATTATATGGCTCTGGTTGTGAAGAGTCTGGTTTGTGCGCTCCGCACCACAGCAGTAGCCCTGCTGCGACAGAGTCCAACAGAGAGGCAGGAGCTGCGGGACAGTAGCCTAGAAGCAGGGTTGGGTTGTAACGGAATACATGTAACGGCGTTACGTAATCAGAATACACAAATCAAGTAGGCTAACTGTATTCAGCTGGCGTTACATTTGAAAAACGAGTAATCTGATTACAGTTACTTTCGTAAACCTGAAGTGAATACATTTTGGAATACTTATTGGAATTATTGGTGGAAAAATTTCCTCACAAAATGTAATATTCATTACCGGCAGAGCTGTGTGCACACTGCACGGCGCTGCAGCGTGTCTGTGAGCGAGAGAGAGATGCAGCGCGTCTGTGAGGCCCCGCCCCCGCACGCAGAGGAGAGAGAGAGATCTCTTTTAAAATATATTGAAAGTTAGAAACGGAGATGGTTAGATAATAAATGTGCAAGATAACCTTTATGTAGAATTTCTTTATTGTCGAAATGATGACATTTCATAACGGGGTCAAATCAAAGTGAATGGCCTGCTGCTGCTGAATGCCTGGGGCAAGTGACTGGAAAAACTTTTAAAAGTTATAACATCGTTTCAGATAATAATAATAATGATAATTCATTCTATTTAGGGGCGCCTTTCAAAGCACCCAAGGACACCTTACAATTCATAACATATTCTAAGGAAAGGTTTTAAGACAGTACAAAGAATGCAGTCCGGGTGATGTTTTTTATGTGTGGTGCAGATGAGAGGGAGCTGTCCAGAATGACACCAAGATGTTGTGTTTGAGTTTAGGGGTGCAACAACTAATCGACTTAATCGATTAAAATCGATTACCAAATTAGTTGCCAACTAATTCAGTCGTCGATTCGTTGGTGACGTCATCACATGTGTTTTACGCGCCGTTAAGCTCCAACGTTATTGGTCTTTTTATCGGTACTGGAGACATTTAAAAAATATATGTCATGTATTATTGCTACAAAAACATTATATCGCAGTCTTAGTGTCGCCAACTCGTTTCTTTAATATGCAAAAAGACAAACAAATGCGTCTATGATGTATTTTCGATCAGACGAGATCTCTCTCCCCCGTCTGTGTGCGAGGGGGCGGGGCAGTTTACACACACGCAGCTGCTACATGCAGCAACACACTGCGGAGATGACGGCGAGAACGCGCTCCGAGGTGTGGTTAAACTATACCTGTCTCGATGTGGAGAATGCTCGTTACCAAAAGTGCAATAAGAGTTTAGTATGTAAGGGCGGTAACACGAGCAATTTGTCTAAACATTTATCAAAAGTGCTCCACATCCAGACGGAGGAATGCACCGGGTTCGACTGTCTTTCTAGTAGCTCTGTAGCCCCGTCCACGAGTAACGTTTCCACGTCAGGTGTTATGTATGCTAGCAGCAACACACGGAGTTAACTACATGATACAAACACGGGTTAATGATTAGAGGAAACTGAGTTATTTATTTAATTAAAGTTTCAGCTATTCTGTTCACAGTTCTGTCATCACATTATTTAATACGATTTGTTAAAACATTGTTGTTTCTTTTGATGTGAAATATTATTTATTTAATTTAAATAAAAAGCAATGTTAATTTTGTTCACAATTTGTTAATTTAATAATATATGTATTTTTGAATCAAGTATTCATCTTTATTGTCTTCATTGTTAGTTTCCACATGCCTAAAACAACCTCAAGCTAAATCTAAAAGTTGATGGCTAAATAAGAGCGTTTGAGAAATTGTGCAAGGCATACAGTAATAGTCCGAATAGTCGATTAATCGTTTCATTAATCGATAGATTAATCGATTATCAAATTAGTCGTTTGTTGCAGCCCTATTTGAGTTCTTGATAAGCCATTAAAACAGTAAAATACGTGTCTCCTGTTCACCAAAACATACCCATCTGTTATGGAAAAATAAAGTATTCTAAAAGTAATCTGAATACGTTAAAGTAGACCCGATTCCAACGTTTAAGACACGTAACTGTAACTGTATTCTGATTACTTTCAGAGCCATGTATTCAGTATTTAGTAACTGATTACAGAACACTCAATACCCCCCCGGTCTACAACTTCAAAATTCTGGACTATATAAAAATCGCTGGCCCGCGATAGTGTCTATTGGATACATTTTGGCCCTTGGACAAATATAGTTGGTGATCCCTGCTCTACATACTGATATACACCTGAACATCAGCAGGAGAGGACTCTTTAAAGTAGAGACACTACATACTGATATACACCTGAACATCAGCAGGAGAGGACTCTTTAAAGTAGAGACACTACATACTGATATACACCTGAACATCAGCAGGAGAGGACTCTTTAACTCTGTTTTCAGAAGACAAACATCTCTCTACTGATTGGATTAATGTAAAAATGATTTACACTTTTCCTCCGCAGGTCAGTCAAAGGTCACCATCATCAACAATCTCACAGGAATGATATCCGGGATCAAATTTCCTCCAGTCAGACATCCACAGGCAGCTCCAAGAGTAGGCCGCCTCGTCCTCCGCCCTCCAGTCTTCAGCCTCCTCGTCCTCCACCCTCCAGTCTTCAGCCGCCTCCTCCTCCACCTTTCAATCTTCAGCCGCCTCCTCCTCAGCCCCCCAGTCTTCAGCCTCCTCCTCAGCCCCCCAGTCTTCAGCCTCCTCGTCCTCCACCCTCCAATCTTCAGCCGCCTCCTCCTTCACCTTCCAATCTTCAGCCCCGAGTCTTCAGCCTCCTCGTCCTCCACCCTCCAGTCTTCAGCCGCATCCTCCTCCACCTTCCAATCTTCAGCCGCCTCCTCCTCAGCTCCCCAGTCTTCAGGCTCCTCGTCCTCCACCCTCCAGTCTTCAGCCGCCTCCTCCTCCACCTTCCAATCTTCAGCCGCCTCCTCCTCAGCCCCCCAGTCTTCAGCCTCCTCGTCCTCCACCCTCCAGTCTTCAGCCGCCTCCTCCTCCACCTTCCAATCTTCAGCCGCCTCCTCCTCAGCCCCCCCAGTCTTCAGCCTCCTCGTCCTCCACCCTCCAATCTTCAGCCGCCTCCTTCTCCACCCTCCAATCTTCAGCCGCCTCCTCCTCCACCCTCCAGTCTTCAGCCGCCTCCTCCTCCGCCCCCCAGTCTTTCACCACTGCCTCCTCCCTCATCCATTCCTCATCCCCCTCTTCCACCTCTACCAACTGTACATCCCAGCGAGGATCAGCCTCCAGGTGGTTCTCCTCCACCCAACAGAAAAGAAAGTGATAGCTCTACTTATCAGCCCAGTGAATCCAGCAAGAAATCCAGCTGCAGCTCATCCTCCCAAAATAGAAGGTCAGACAAACACAAGTCCAAGCACAGAGAGGAAACATTTCCAAGCCTGAAACTGTCTGACTCAACAGAAAAGAGACATCGAAATGGTTCAGATCCCAACAGGGACAGCTCTGCCCCCGACAAAAACAGGTCTCACAAAGACTCAGGACGAAGACATGGGCATCACAGATCAGACAGGGTCAAAAGCCCTCCACTAGTGAGTGCAATTACCTGTGATGACAAGAAAGGAAGAGGTCGTGAAAGGAGAAAGGATACAGCCAAAACATCAGACTCTGAACGTATCGCAGCTCACAGCTCTAAAGAGGGCCACAGTCGAGATCATAAAATAAATAAGACTACTGATGAGAGAAGAAATTCAGACTTAAGGGACCGGAAAAAGTCCTCTTCAAACCAACCTCCAGAACGCAGCGAGTCCTCCAAAGAACGGGGAGGGGATAGGTCGTCAAAGGATTGTCAGAAGAAGAAGGATAGACGACATGGAAATAAAATCAGCAGAACACTTAAGAGAAGCATTCCGACAGAGACGGGCAGAGAACGTGAGAATGTGAGATCAGACCAAGGTAAAGTGGAGGTCATTAGTCAGGAAAGTCAAGAAAAGACACACGAGGCCCTAAAGACACCATCCGAAGAACCAAGTGTCACAGAGAAAGGTTCTGGGGAGGAAAACAGTCCTAACAGGAAACTGTGTTTCATGGAAACATTGAATCTAACCCTTTCACCAATCAAGAAGCCGCTCATGCCCTTCACCCAGGGCAAGGGAGTTGAACACTCACCAGATGATGAGAGTTCACAGCCTGACATCGAGGACATGTGTGTGATCGATGAAGTAAACAGCAGTGAACTAGAAATAGGGTTGGAAGATTTTGCAGAACCATCTTTAGATTCCCCGAAAACCCCTCGTGCCAAAAAGATACATAAGACTTGTGATGATCCAAAAGATGTCCAGGAAAAGTACCGACACCAGAGTGAAAGTCCTGCAGCTGATCAGCAACTTGAAGACAATGTATCGCAAACCTCCTCAGCTCATAGCCAACTGCCAGAAACCGAGAGGAACCTCCCAGCAACTTCACCAGAGAGCACTTCTATAAAAGCAGCAGATGTTTCAGGAAAACGAGAGAACAAAAGCAAGTTGGTGTCACATACCCAGAAACACAGTTGTAGCCCTGTGTGGCCCGTGGAGGCTGCAAATAAACGACACACAGGCCATTCTTCTTCACAAAGAATACCTCCTATTGTAGACGTCATTGATTCAAGTGTAGAACTGAAGTGTATATCTCCTAAATCTGCACTACAGAAAAGCCTCCCTGTGGATTCAGTCGGAGAAGATGAAGCTTCTTCTCCCACAACGGAAAATCCTGAAGCTGTAGAAGTTCCTGACAAAGCCTTCCTTGAAGTGTCTCCCATAATTCTACCTCAGGACAGTCAGCAACGGCTGTGTCCTCCTGATTCCCTTCCCAAGAAAGATGCTTGTTGTGATGTTCCTAAAAGTGCTGTATCCAGTACAATAACCCTTGAATCACTTCCACAAGAAGGGCTTAGTCTACCTGAGGCCATTTTTGTTTTAACACAGCGAAACGAAGACAGCAGTGACAGCAGTAGCGTCGCCGCTGAGCCCAGCTCCTCCACTGGCTGCATCGCCGTGGCCAGAGTCAGCAGCACCACAGAGGAGCCTGCGGGGCCACAGAGGCACAGCCACCTGTTCACACCAAAGAAGATCTTCTCTCCTGCGAAGAGTCGTGACAATAAAGTGCAGCCTTCCAGTTCGATGCCATTACTCCACGATGAGGACTCCATGATGCACACACTGAGCAATCTGAAGACAATCCCTGATGCCATAAGCCCTCTGAGGAGCCCCATCAGGATCACCAAGAGGAACCACATCCACCTTCTCAGCAAGCCAGGGCATGTCAAGAGCCTTCAGAAAGGTAAGGTTGGCCTAATAAAAAAAAAAGATGTCACTTTAAATCTTACATACATTTTTGTATGAATGTCGCAGTTTGTTCATAATTCTTTAGGCCTGTTGCCATGTGGTGCTGATTTTTTTTAATGATTGTTATCCTGATAGTCCATCCTGTATGTATGTGGATGAAATATAATAATTATCTCGACAGATCCTTTAAACCAAATTAAATGATTTACTCAAGATGCCAACAAGTCTTACCGGGAATAGTATAAATACCCCAAAAGATGTAATCATACTAAAGTCTATAGGCGCTTTCACACCGAAGTACTTTTCGCCGTACTTTTCCCGTTTAGTTCCTGGGATTTTGCGTTCACACCAAAAAGAGAACTTAGTTCATGTGAACTTTCCCCCCTTTTCAGTTCCTGCTAGAGAGCAGGTTCGGCGGATTGCAAACCACGCCCCGTAAAACTCTGAAATGATTGTGAAGCCGCCATTGTATTTGCTGGCATTAGCATTATTAGCATTAGCCCAGCGCACCAGCGGAGAGAGAATAAGTTATGTCAAAAAAAAAAAAACATGGGAGCGGTGGAGATGAGGAGGTGTCGGCGTTCTGGCGATTTACTCGGAAGGCTTCACTTGAAGCAGCTGGGAGTCCCAGCAGCTTCAAGTGAAGCCAGTCCCCAACTCCGGGGACTCCCGGCCGGGGACTTCTGGTGGCAGTATATGCCGTGAAGTGGTTTGCGGCCTGCCAGTAAACCCAAAGCAGCAGAAGAAGAAGTGACGTCAGCGGCTCATTTGCGTAATCTTCCCTCAGGGAACTTATTCCGGTGTGAACGCGATCGGCTCTTAGTTCCGTGGGGGTACTAAGTGCTGGGTACTAAGTGCTTGGAACTAAGTACGGCAAAGTACTTGGTGTGAAAACGGCTTATGTGAACCATCACAATTCCATTTTTTTTGTTATTTGCATTAAAAAAATGTCAGCGTCTAAGAGCTATTTTTAGGAAATTGAACAGATCATAATACCCTCTCCAAAAAATATTTAATATTTCTGTCAAAACATCAGTTTAAAAAAAATATTTGTTCAAGTTATAATCCAAAAGATTACATTTGAACACATCATATAGAGTTATAATTTACCTCTAAAATCATTGTTACTCATTTGTGAACAGAGCTTGAACACCTCATACTAGGGCTGTGCAATTAATCGTATTTTAATCGCGATTACGATTATGGTTTGCGACGATTAGGAAAACAGCATAATTGACAAAATACGATTATTTTTCTGGGTGCGCTTTCGCCCCTCCCTAAAAGCCCACTCGGCCACGTGGGAGTGACATGTGTTGTGAGTGTTCAGCGCAAGCGAAGATGTCAGAACAAGAGCAGCAACTAGTTAAAAAGAAGGGTCGCGGGGAGATTCCCAGTCGATCGCGAGATGTGTCTAAAAATAGAACAACAATATTCTGTTTTATCGTTAATGTTCCCGTGCCAGAATAATGCACTTGAACGCATCAAAGCTTTGTGATTGGCCGGCCTCACCCCATGTGTCCGGGCGTGGCTGGTGAGCAGTGCACTAGTTCGCTGACGTTGTCCGTGTCAACAGCATGGATGGTCAACAGGAGTGACAGTCCGCACACACACAAGACCGCAATTATGGCAGAAGCAAAAAAGCCCAAAATATATAATTTTCACTCCAAGTGGGAGGATCATTATTTTTGTATCTATTCCAATTCAAAGTCCATCTGTCTCATCTGCAATGCGAGCGTGGCTTTATCGAAGAAGGGTCATTTAGGAGCGGCATTTCAAAACAGTGCACAAACGCTACGAGACGGAATTCCCTCCTAATTCTGCCCTACGCTCCAAAAGGGGAGGGGCCTGAGAGGACAGCTAAATGCACAGCAGTCCATTTTCACCCGGCCCAACAACAAGAGCAAGGCTGCTACCATAGCATCTTATCGTGTCAGTCACGTTCTAGCGAAACACATGAAGTCTTTCGAAGACGGCGAAGTTATGAAAGAAGCTTTCCTGGAGGCTGCGACGCGCTTTTTGGGGACAGTAAAAATAACAGTAGCATTTCAACAGGTTTTTGATATAATAAAAACTCAATTTAGATACCGTTATTAATCTGCTGTAAGTTTTAGTTTGTTTGAATTTATTCATGATAATTATTGTACAAAATGGTATAAGAATGCAAACATTAAGATCTGTTCTGTTTAAATTGATTATAGTCTATCAGTTCAGAAACTAGTGTTGCTTGCATCCTATTTTAATGGCATTTATTTTTATACTCTAATAAAATGCAACAAAAAAAGGGTTTGATTCTATTAATGTTGTCTTTTTTATTGCACTGTTGCAGCAGATTACTGTGTAGCTTCAGATCTGAGTTGTCTTATTAGTAAGCCTAATTTATACTTTTGTAGCAACACTATTTTTATATAATGGCAAAGAAAGGGTTCAGAGTCTTTCCTTTTGTCCTGTGTCATATGTGGCAGCACTGCCACAAGTTCCTCTTCAGAGAGGGTCTTCAGTACAGGTGGCAATATTGTCACCTGCCTGCGCTCATCTCTGAAACCAGACCATGTAAACAGCCTGGTGTTTCTTGCAAAAAATCTTTAAGAGATGACATGAGCAGCCCTACCAGCATTTGCCATGGTGGCCTAAACATTTTTATTTGGTCTTAAATTGTAGTTCAACATTTATTTCCTGTTACTTCTGGACCATGACGGTTGGCCAGCCTTCAACGTTTAACTGAGTGGAATATGTTGAATATGTTTGACCAAAATGTTGGCTATATGTTAAGGAGTTTTCAGTAGGTTGTGACAGTGCACTGCAACATATTTGATTTCATTTATTTTGGTCTAATTTATTTTTATTTATCATATTAATATATGTTTAGTATGGTTTTGGAAGTGCGCTCCAACACATTTATTGATCTTGTTTATTGGTAAAATATTATTTGTTTTAAAGTTCAATAAATGGTCAATGAATAATCGTCAAAATAATCGTGATATCAATTATTGACCAAATAATCGTGATTATGATTTTTGCCATAATCGCACAGCCCTACCTCATACTGTAGGTCAATGATTCTGTTAGCTAACGGCTAACATTAACTAGCTATCTTTTTGCATTAATATAATGCATCAATAGCATATTTTTACTTAATATAAGTTGATAATGACAGCAATGTGAGTCCAAAATTCTGTGTTTGTTCCCCAACTGGAATATTACATGATCTACATTTGTTTTAGGATGGACATTTTAATTGTACTGATTTGAAAGCAACCCGCTATTTGTATATAGGGGAAACACTGGTCTTACTTGATCTTTATACATGATTTCTATTCATGTTGTCAAATTCAAAATCTTACCACAGATGTCAGTGTCATGATTATCTAGTGTTGATTTCCCCTTTTGCAAAGCCTGTTGCTAAATAAATCTGTAGTTTGACACAACATTTTAACAGGATTATTTGATTTCTTCCACTACGTTAAAATAGTATTTTCTACTGTGTACCAAAGGCTGGAACTGGAACTTAAAATAACGTCAGCACTGATCGAGGTTTTCAAGTGGTCATTACCAGTCTGCCAGAGCACATACCGTGTTCCCTTTAGATCTCTATTCTAACCTCTTTCCTACTCTTGTTTTCTTTTCTTTTCTGGAGACAGTTTAACCAGCATGAATCCAAAGTTTTGTGCTTTCCACAAATATAAAATGTAACAATCAAATATCGCAACTGATTGATGAAAACATTTTGTTTTTCTGGCCATAGCTGATGTTAAATTGACCAGACTTCTTTCTGTGGATTGATATGACTGAACAGCATTTGACTGCTATAAAATAGACTTCTCATACCGCTTACTTCTCAGTTAATAGTACCGCACCTCATGAATACAAGATAAATATCCTTTATTTATACGGACCTTGTTACACAATCAATATTTATGAGTTGCTATAATATGAACTATTTGCTTTCTCTCTCCTTGCAGACTTCTCCAGCACAGCTGTCGCTGAATCCTCAAAGAAGTTGGACGTAAACAAAGAAAACAAATATCCGGGTTCTCCTGCAAACCATGACACGCAGAGCTCTGTGGACAAGGTGTCCGACCCGCCTTCAAGTGTCTCTGACACCGACCTGGAGGAAGGGGAGATATTAAGCGAGAGTGAAGAGGCGGCTACAGATTCTCCTGCTCCTGCAAACAAGAAGTCAGCAAAGTCCATGCGACCAGTCAGAAACAATGCAAGTCCTCAGTCTTTGTTAAAGAGGAAAGCTGACGAAAGCTGTGTTGTATCCAAAAAAGTCATAGAAACAGTAGATGTATCAACACGAAGTCCGAAGAGTCGCTTTAAAACTGTTTGTCCCGCAGCAACCAAAGCTTCTTTTTCCACTGTAGAGGAAGTGATGGAGACGTTCAAGGTGGTCCGTGCTGAGATCCGAAAGAAGTACATGAAACTCCACAAAACCTTTCCCAAGAAGAGCTTCTATGGAGTGATGGAGAACTTCCAGGAGTCTTTTTTAGAATTTGTAGAGGGTGCTCATTTGGGTCAGATATGCAGTCAGGCAGTGGAGCTGAAATCCAACATGAAGACATTAATTACATCTGTGTTTAGCAAACTGTCGAATAATGGTATTGTGAAACGCATCTTTGAACAGCAGGCAGTGGATCTGAAGCAGAGGCTGTGGGACTTTGTAAATGTCCAAGTTGACTTCTTGTTCAAGGACATTCACACAACACTGAAAAGCCTGTGCAACCAAAGAGCTCAGGCTGAGGACAAGAAGCCCACTGGAAATAAGAAAGGATCCGAACAGCCCCCTGTTAAAAAGCAACGTCACCAACTGGACGCACAATCGTCTCCCACCAGCTTGAATCGAATCATGCCCTCTCCTGTGGTGCCTTACAGAACAGGCCTTGGAAGCAGAGGCAAAGATATCAGAATCACACAAGAGGGAAAAGACAGCAGTGTTCACCCACATCCAACACATACACAAACTGTCTCCATCTACTGTCCTCCCAAAAATATCCCTTCAACTCCAGAGAAAAGTAGCATTTCTTCTTTGTTAGTCCCTCCCAACGGTTCTTTGCTGGACAAAACTGACTTTGAGCTTCTCACAGAACAGCAAGCCTCCAGTTTAACATTCAACCTAGTGAGGGACTCTCAGATGGGAGAGATCTTCAAGTGTCTCTTGCAGGGATCCGACTTACTGGAAAGCAGCGGCGTCACCGGAGACAACACAGTGTGGTCCCTCAGCACACCGAGAAAGGACGGAGAGAGACTCCTCAGCATCACTACTCCAACTAAATATGACTCTCCATCTAAGCTGCACTCCCCGAACAAATTTGGAACTCCCTCGAAACTTATCGCAACGTGGTCCAGCCTTTCACCTCGCAAGATGTCCTCTCCACACTCCAAAGGTCGGATCCACCTGAATCCAGCTCTGTTCGACGAGAGTTGCATGTTAGAGGTGCCGTCAGACAGTCGATCTTCACATAGGTCCTATTCCATTCTGGCTGAAGACCTGGCGGTGTCCCTCACCATTCCATCGCCTCTCAAGTCCGACAGCCACCTCAGCTTCCTGCAGCCATCCAGCATGCGCCTCATGTCCACTCCGGAGAGCGTCATAAGCGCTCACATCAGCGAGGACGCTCTGCTGGAGGAGGACGACGCGTCGGAGCAGGACATTCATCTCGCACTGGACACCGATAACTCCAGCTGCGATTCCAGCTGCAGCGATGTGCTCGCCACCCCTTTCCTCTTCAAGCCAAACCTACCCATGCAAGCGCTGGTGATGGAGAAATCCAACGATCATTTCATCGTGAAGATCCGTCCTGCGATATCGGGCGCCGATACCACAATCACTGAAGACAGCTTCAGTCACACCCTAATAGAAGAAGACCAGCAGCACATCCAAGAGGATGTGAAAACTAAAGACGGTCAAGAAATGGCAATTTTGTCAGACAAATCCTGGAATCATACTCCTTCAAATGCCTCACCTGAGAACAGTCCATCTGGGATCTGTCTGGCCAACACCAAAGCAGATATCCATCCCTCTCAAGAGGAGAGCTTAACACTAACAAAAGATTCATACCACAAAAAAGACTTGCCTCCACAAAATCCATTAGAGGATTCACAGAAACTGTCAGAGAAGAATCGGACTGAAGCCACTCCTTCAGACAGCTTTCAAAAAGGTGCTCAAAGCTCTGAGCACTTCTTTAGACACATCAACCAGGCGACCAGCAGAGAGGAGATCTCACTCACTGCTGATGATGATGAATCAAATCAAACCCACCACGGAGAAAAATCCATGACAACGCAACAAAGTCCCTCGAAAGCTCTTTCCTCTAAGTCTCAGAATAAGACGAGATGCTCTGAAACCGTGCTGTCGGCTCAAAGCTCTGAAACAAATCAAGGAAGCCAAGAGTCTGCATCACATGTGTCCGACTCCGGGACAGAAGCAACAGAGGAGTCAGAGAGAAGTGTCACCATTGCAAAGGAAACTCCAGAGAAAGGCCGTAGAGATCTCAACAGGGGTAGAAAACGGAAGAAGCACCAGGAGAAATCAAAAGCCAAGCGGCTCAGGAAGCAGGACGAGGAAAGCTCAGAGGAGATGGAGTCTCTCTGCAAGACTGATGACGGAGAATCCAGAGCCTCCCCCGCAGCGCTGTCCCCCAACAGCCTCTATGCCAAGAACGTGATCAGGAAGAGGGGCGAGGTGGTGGTGGCATGGACCAGGTCAGTAGTTGCTTCTGTATTGTGTCTCTCCCCTCTCCCAAGAGTTAGTGATTCAGAGATTCAATATCATTTGAATGTCCTCATTATTTCTGCCTTGCCATTTTGACCAATCCTGGCAATATTTCAGAAACATTTCAAAATCATGCTTATCACAAGCCTTTTCTGCCTTCAAAACGTCAATACAGAGGAATAGTTATATGAAGTAAAGATGTACATTTATGTATGTACTGTGTTGGAGTGTACCCTGCTGAACAAAACGTGTAAGCATCATAAACGTTTGTTGACAGAGATTATTTTCTACATTATTACGCAAAATCTTGCAATGCTAAATGAGAGGTCACACTACGAAAAAACGTCATCCCCATATTAAATCCATTTACTTTTGATCTTTTCAAAGTATATTTTGATACTACTTCCGCAAGCATTACTTGAATACTATCAGCAACACAGTTTGATTGTCACATTATGCACTGAAAAAACGTTTACTTTCATTAAATGTATTATGTCAACATAATGATAATGTCAGCAGAGCATTAATATTACGTTTTAATAAATAATATTAGGTTCAACTTTATATTATTGCTTTCAATGAACATATTCCAGTTATGGGAAATGTGTTGGCATAACACACTTCATTAAAGTGGCAGTGCCTCTGAGAAAGATACTCATCCCCTGTGTTCTGCTTCTTCCAGAGATGAAGATCGAGCGATCCTCATCGCGCTGAAGACAAGAGGAGCTTCACGAGACACTTTCTCTGTGTTGTCTGAGAAGCTCAATAAGCCATCAGCGCAGGTGAGTTCGTCTGTTGTTTTGTGTCATGTGATATGACTGCAGGAAGTGATGATTGAGCAAACAATAACTGTTTTCCTGTTATCAGATTGCCAACAGATTTAACCAGCTCATGAAGCTTTTTAAGAAGCAGGAGAAGATGGAGCCTTGATCCCTCTGACTGTAATCGCAATGACTCTTCATACTGTGTTACCAACAACGCCACTGAACAAATGGGGGGTCAAGTCCCTGTGGGGGGGAAAGTTGTGAATCCCACCACTATCTGCTAATTCTGGATATTGAAGTGGACGAAAAGGATTCTTCCTCAGCACAATGGACAAGATAGATTGATGTGAACGGCCAATAGAAATAAAGTCATTATCAGATGTACTGTTTCTGATTTTCTATGAATCCACACTACTCCATCATCAGATCTGGGTGGTGTCTGGTCATATCACTTAGTCCTCAGTGCAGCCCGGAACTCGCTATCCTTTCTGCCTTTGCAGATGTGATACATTGCCAAAATGGTATTTCAGTTCATCTCGCACCTACTTCTATGTTTCTCTCAGTACAGTGAGGAAAAACTGCCTTCAGACTAAGCCACCTTCAGGCTCCAGTGCGAGTACGCTCAGATGTTACTGAATGAAGTGACAGTTTTAGTCCCTGAAGTTATGGACGCTCACTGGAAACTACTCGAAGCATCACCCATCAGGAGACCGAGCTGCGACTCATAGATTGGGTCTTTTATCAGAAGACTGAATGTGATACTTATGATCTTATTTTTATGTATGAGGGGGAGTGATTGAAATGTTTGAATCTTGTTAAAATGTTTACATGTCCAACTCATGTACAGGACAGTATTGTTAATCTCTGTTAATACACATTTTATCTGTTTGTTTGATTTATTATATTACTTTTAAACAGAGTGGAATGCAATATTGTGAGTAGTTCTTTACTAAAAAATAAAGTTTTATTTATTCATGCTGATGTCTGTTTATTCCTGAAACATTTGAACAAAACCGAATCAAATAATTGTGGTAAATCGATAGATCTATGCCAGTGGGGTTCCCCCTGTGTTTCTCTGTTCTAATCATGAAGTGGGCCACAGTCTGGAATCCAGGCCAGCGCCTCAGGGTCTGTAACTGTAACCAGTGGCAGGAAACATCGTGCTACAATATATTCTGCATACTCTCTATATCCAGAGGTGGGAGAAGTACACAGATCTTGTACTTGAGTAAAAGTAGAAGTACCAGAGTGTAGGAATACTCTGTTACAGTAAAAGTCCTGCATTCAAAATGTTACTCAAGTAAAAGTAGAAAAGTATGATCATCAAAATATAGTGAAAGTAGCGACAGTAAAAGTAGTCATTGTGCAGATTGGTCCATTTCAGAATAATGTATATGATATGTTTTATAATGATTGATCATGAAAGTGTTCTCAAAGCTGGTGAAGGTGCAGCTAGTTTGAATGACTTTGTATACTGCAGGGTAGCTTGTGGATTTACTCCATGTGGAACTAAAGTCTGATTTAAGGCTTGATTAGATTTCACATCATTCATCCACATCTGTGAAGAAACTGAAGGTATTAAATACATGTAGTGAAGGAAAAGCACCATTTACCTCTGAACTGTAGTGGAGTAGAAGTTCAAAGAAGCAAACAAAAATAACATCAAATGTAAAAACGAATTAATAACAAAAGTGTTCGTTTTATTTAAAGTGTGTGTCCCCGGTTTGAATGTCCACCCTGCTACTCTGATTTAAATCCCCCTGGCCAGGCCACTTTACTATCCTACTATTTAAGAATAATTCACTTTGAGCGAGAACATCGTTTACAAGAAGTTCTTCATTCAAAGTGTTTTTAATGTTTAAAGAGCTTGACTGTTGCGGTAAAGCATAACATGTCCATCCTGTTATGCTTATTTTTAGTGGAAACTGATTTTTTTTGTAATTTAGAAAATATGGTTAAGCCCCTCCTTATGGGAGATAACGGCTGGGCGTGCAGGGGAAATTATTCCCCAACAATCCATTTATATAATAACCTGTCTGAAAATGAGCTGATCAGATTTTGGCCACTTTATGATGTCATAACATTTGTCTTTGTTGGCTTGTCATTAGCAGGGTTGCCAACTCTCACACATCTGGCGTGTGACCTATGCGTGTGACACATGCTTTCACTCTCAATCTCACGCTCTCACGCTGCCCAAACTATTCTCATGCCAAAAACAAGATGATCCGGCGATCGTTTTTGGTTGGTTATTTACAATGTTGAGTTGCCATAAAAGATGATGAAAATGTTCAAAAAGTGCAAAAACTTCACATGTGTGCTAACAGTCCAGCCGTGAAGACATCTACGGGACAGTTTTGAGATTTCTTCAAATGCCGTTGCCATGGCAACACAATGCTCCCCATGAAACACAGTTTTCTCATAACTTCAGTGAAAATGCTCCAAACGCCCCAGAACTTCACAGGTTTGGTAACGATGCAGCCATCAATGCATCTAAGCGTATTATGGGATGTCATCAAATGCTGTTGGCATGGCGACAGATCATTCACCATCAAGTTAGTTCAAAAGATTGCAGTTCAAATAGTCTGCTGCTTTTCCAAGCCTTTTTACTTTCTTTTCTTCTCTCATCACACATTCAAGCCCCCAGTGTTCATGTTTCATTTCAATCTAAAGTCTTCACTTTCTTCTTTACATTACATTTCAGCATAGCAGTTTAGCGTCAGCTTTTCAGCATAAAGCATTCCCACTATCAATTTCTTCAGGAATTGCATTCTCTAGTTATATATTATCATTATGTCAGTGATCTAAAATGGTCATACAACGGTGCCGACAATATTATCATTTATCACAATAATTTCCGGGAAAATGTATCTAACAAAATGTATTATTGTGACAGGCCTATGAAACACCAGAGCCGGCCCGACCCATTAAGCGTTTCCATGGAAACGGCATATGATGACACACCATCATTGACGTAGAGCTGTTGAGGGCAGGACCATTAACCATTATCTGAAGTCTGCTGCTCTGAGCATGTCAGTTGGAGCAATGACATCATCGTGTTCCATGACACAGGTGTTTATATTTGAGCTAACGAGGTGTCCGGAGATCAGAGGTTTCCATGGTGATCAAATAAATGTGGCAAAGGCTCAAATTTGTTGAACAACACATTTGTAACAGGTTTGTTAATTGACCAAAAAATATGAACAGTTGGAAGATTGAAAATGGGATTATTATTAGGATCATTTGTAGGTCATTGAAAAGTAGAATCATTTAGAAAGATGTGAACATTGACATTTCTATTTTAGAAAAGCTGACACTGTAGTGCATCGCTGGTTTTAAAAGTGATTTATAAGAGTCATGTTTAAAGATGTGCAATACTTAAAACGTTTATAAAGATCCTCTGAGACTCTCAGGGCCGTATCCACCATTGAGGTCACCGAGGTCTGGACCTCTGTAATTTTTAATATAATTATTTTAATAATTGTAATAATGGCACTAAACGGGGTATTTTGACCTCCCCCGGCTGCGATCGGCTATTCTCGTCTACTTTCGAGGCGAGCCGCAACGCGTCTCAAACAAGCCTACTGCCTGAGGAAGGTTATGTGTATGTTTTTTGTCATTAACCTTTTTCGGACCACTTATTTATTTATTTTGGTGACGATCCGACCTCCATGCTGCTACTCGGGTTCAAACTGCATCCACCAAACAATATGATTTATCTCGACCTCCCCAAAATAACCAAAATCAGACACGGGTTGCGTTCCGATAATCCAAAAATCAGCTCCTAAATTCTAACCCTATCTCCTATTCCTTGACCTCTGAGTGAAACGTCACGGGGTTAAGGGATAGTGGATAGGAGAATTTAAAAGGACTTAGGAGAAGAGACCGCGGTACTTTAGAGAATCCGAATGCACTTTCACTATCCGACGTGTTTATGATGCGCCAGCGGACGTCATGAATGTGCGTCTGCTGCTGTGGGGAAACTATGGAAACTACAGTTTTCTATACAGCGGACTACAACATGGATGTTTAATAACAACGAGGGACTACTGTAAACTCATCTAGAGACTCTGCACCGTGCTCTGATGCTGTTGCTTTATGCTTTATGAACGTGGACAACAGAGAAACATATTCTTCATGACCAAAGTTGGAATTGAAATAAAAAAGGAAAGTGAAACTTCTGCTCGTCAGCCTCTCCCTCCGGTCCACAATAATACAAATGATCCCAATACGTATGATTGTATGAACTATTAAAATATCTTAAAATCAATACAAATGTATTTATTATAAACGTTAGTCCTTAACATCTATCACTGTGTATATCACCATTCAAACATCTTTAAAAAGTTGAACAAACCCCACCCAGCTCAGTGAAATGTTGACTTTATTTGATCATTTCAGTAAAAACTAACGTTCATATTTCTCTTTTTGATTATAATACTGATGAACGTTCAGAAAAAAGCACTTTGGCAACTTACCACATACGTTTTAAAATGCTTAATAAGAACCGTAACTTTCATGATAACATTTCTCCGTCATAATCGGTTGTTTCCGTGAACGGCCGACTGTTGTGATGGCAAATGCTGCGGCTGCAATGCATTGTGGGGCAGCATTTTCTCCTCTCCTTTCGGTTAGGGAGGTCCAGTGGTTCCTAAGCTAAAGGAGGTTATAATTTAAAGGAAGTTTGAAACCTCCTTTCCTTTCATTTGGAGAATTGGAACGGCACTTATCATGGCTGCCAGTGACGTACTTCCGGGTCATTTCACTCCGTTAGGAAGGTTCCTAAGCTAAATGGACTATTGGAATGCAACCACGGTGTGAGATGTCTTTTTTTAGCTGTTCTGTTTTCCTGCTATCTTCTTCATAAAGTCAGTCAAAATGAATGAAGGAATGGGCGTTTCTTTGACTATTTATAGGCAAATATGGGCGTTACGTGAAGCCCGCAAAAGCTGCACCGCATTTCGAGTCGATTGTGATTTATAAAGGGAAACCGGCGTAGGAAGTGCTGTACGCACTTTCCTCGCCGGTACGCAATGTTTGGTGAATCGGAAAATGTCGGAACATTTCTGTACCTATTTTTTGGATTTCTACTACATAAGCAACCTTCCCACGTGAATCCTACGCACGGCATTATAAATGAGGCCCCAGGCATATCTTGCCTCTAAAGTTTAACGATGCAGAGAAACTATGCATTTGTTACTTCAAGGCTGGATTATTGTAACTCCTTATTATCAGGGTGTACCGAGAAATCAGTCAAGTGGCTTCAGCTGATTCAAAATGCTGCAGCTCGTGTACTAACCAGAATTAGGAAAAGGGACCACATTACTCCTGTTCTGGCTGCCTTACACTGGCTCCCTATAGAACACAGGATAGAATTTAAAATTCTTCTTCTCGCCTACAAAGCCCTTAATGGGCATGCGCCATCTCATTAACTCATTATACCCTACTGTCCTACTAGGGCATTGCGTTCCAAGAATGCAGGGTTGTTGGTTGTTCCTAGAGTCTCTAAAAGTACAATGGGAGCCAGAGCCTTTTCTTATCAAGCTCCACATTTGTGGAATCAGCTTCCAGTTTGTGTTCGGGCGGCAGACACCCTATCCGTTTTTAAGAGTGCGCTTAAGACCTTCCTTTTTGATAAAGCTTATAGTTAGGGCTGATTAGATTCAGCCCCTAGTTTTGCTGATATAGGCTTAGTTTGTCGGGGGACATCTTACTTCTTCCTTCTCTCTGTCTATACCTGTGTACTCTCATGTTCCGATTAACCCAGCTTCCCCAAATGTCTTTCTTTTTGGTTTTCTATATACGCCGGGATCCGGAGTCATGGATGATCCTGCGCTCCTCTGTCCTGGATCGCGAGCCCTGGATCTTGAGTCGTGGCTGTGGTCCTGGATCATAAGTCCTGGATGGATATCCTCGTGGATTAATCTTCCTATTATACACACATGCATTTCCAAACATTTGGACTACCTATGTTGCAAATGTATTATCTTTTCAATTTACACACGGCATCTATTGCACGTCTGTCCGTCCTGGGAGAGGGATCCCTCCTCTGTTGCTCTCCCTGAGGTTTCTCCCATTTTTCCCTTTAAACTGTGGGTTTTCTCTGGAAGTTTTTCCTTGTACGATGTGAGGGTCTAATGATAGAGGGTCTAAGGACAGAGGGTGTCGTATTGTCATACTGATATTCTGTACAAACTGTGAAGTCCACTGAGACAAATGTAACATTTGTGATATTGGGCTATATAAATAAACATTGATTGATTGATTGATAGCATGTCTGGACCTCGGTATTTAGGAAATCCTGGATACGGCCCTGCTCTGAGTGTGTGTCATTAGTTAGCTGATAAAAATGTAGGGATAAATACCTTGACATATTGACTACAAGAGCTTGAATCAAACAAGCAACCTTGTATTTGAAAGATTAACTCACATAGCAACAGTCGCACCTGGTATATAAGTGGTGTGGCTGAGTACTTTAAAGGGTTCATGACTAGAGGGGACTTGAATGTGAAATAAGAACAAGAAAATTATATTCTAAATGCATGAAAAAGCAGCAGAATATTTGAACTGAAAACTATAGAACTAAAAGCATACGTCACCAATAATATCTAAAATATGTGGAACATGTTGAAGTCAGTATGAAGTCTCCATCAGACGGGAAAGAATAGGCTGAGTCTGTTAAAGTCCAGTGACCACGTCATTAGTCTGCTGCTCTAATTATGTCAATTGGAGTTATGACATCATCGTTTTCCATGACACAGGTGTTTATATTTGAGCTAACGACGTGTCCAGAGATCAAAGGTTTCCATGGTGATCAGTGAGAGGAGAGCATTTTCATTGTTCTGAATGAGAGATAAACCTGTTACATGTGAACGTTTTGTTGAAGAACCATAACAGATATCGGTGAAATTTCAAAGCGTGAAGCATGTCAAGGAACTTGAGCATCTGAAGTGTACTTTTTGTGTATTTTCGGGTTCATAATGTGGCCTTTTTGGCAGTTTAACTAAAGGTGTGCGGCTGCTGTGGTGGGGAAAGGTGAGGCTGAACTTACAATGGGGTTTAATGGAGACATGTTGAAAGTTTTTGTCACTTCATGCCCTCAAGAGGCATTTTGTTTAATTATTTTGCTTAGTTCTTTTTTATTATCTTTCAAGCTACGAGACGTGTTCCTACATTTGTCATGAAAAATTATGTCTCAGGAATGTAGGGTTTGGGAATTATGGCAGGTTTAAAAGAAAATATGAAGGCAAAATTAAATCTGTCCTCCACTCTGTGACATCACGCACTCTAAAATCTGAAGAAGGCCTATATACCAAGGTCTGAACAATGTTTAATCTCTAAAAGTAAGAATCAGATTTAAAAGTTGTGTTACACGAATAATGTCAGAAAGATGTGTAACATTTTAAAGTTGGAATGAGGTTTCTGAGTGAAGGTATGAAGGAGCAGTTAGCAGTTGAAGAAGAAGCAGTTAGCAGTTGAAGTTGCATGAAGATTGTTGAAGTCTGAAGAGTTTCTCCATTGACTTCAATGGTTGAAAATGTGATGAATTATGGGATGTATCTCTGGAATCATGAAAGTTATGAATGATAAAAGTAATAGTCATCGATCCCCGACCGAGCTGAACATTTTGATGTTTGAACGGAGTTTCTGCGATGTTCAATGTGGGAGAAGAAGAGGCGCAAAATAACCCGGCGGAATAATAAAGAATTTTGTGCGTAGCATAACAGATAGTTGGAATGCTGTGTCAGCATTCCCACTAATTAATAATTCAAGTACATCCTTTCAAACTGCTAGTCACATCCTTATGTAAACAAACGGCAATTTATCGAGGTCAGAAAAGTTATAGAGTTCATTTTTAGTTATCGTACGATAAGTCAATTAATTGCTTATCGCGACAGGCGATGTATTGGTTATGTGTGTTCTTGCTACATATGCACACAATAAAACAGTGGAAACAAGCATGTGTTTGACTTTCATTCGTGAATGAAACTTTTTGCCCTTTATATATGTCCAATATTGTGTATTTGTATATATTGTATACATATCCTATATATATATATATGCTAAGGTCTCGCTACTGACACAATAGCAGTCTTTTAGTGCGTATACGTGTAATATCAATATCCATAATATTCATGATATCAAAATCTCACTCCAGCCAGGTAGGCCTACCCAATGCTGGCAACCCTGCCATTAGCCAATAACCAACCAAGGTAACCCCCCCCCCCCCCCCCCACCTTATCACCTGAATCTCCTTCTAGAGCACCATTGAGTTCTTTTTAACCAAATATCTCTCAGAGGGGCGTGGGGAGGGGCTCCTTATTTTCATCTAAAGTAACAGACAGAGAATCAGCACTTTGGAAACAGGGCTGAAACAGAGGGGATTATGGGTAATGCTGCAATGATCTGTTTGGTATTTCGAGCCAAACACTTCGGAGACATGTTTTGTATATATCTGACACTATGATATATTAATGAAACACAGTATAATAGGGGACCTTTAATATATTTATCAAATATCTATTTCTGTTGACACCAAGTGCTAGCTCACACAAGTAGCAATAGCCAAGTTTAGCATATGTCCACCCTGTAAGTAACTGTTTTTCACTTTAACAGTCCCATGATGTCCTGAGCTGGACCAAAATATTGGTATTATACTTTAACACCCGTCATGAAGATTAAATAAAAAAATCATGGAAAATTGTTTCAAACGAATTAAAAAGTAAATACATTTCTGTTTACATGATGAAATACCCGGATGTGTTGCTATGGGGACGGCAAATTATCTTTATACATCCATGACGCAGTAGCGCAGAGCTACGTTGATACGGAAGTGGGCGTGGTTAACTCTAAACGATGGACGTGACCCGGAAGGAATTGCGCTTCACTCACATGTGGACAGGATTTAACACCAGTGACGGGAACGTGCATGTGTTGTGAAACAGCCCGAGACAGACGTAATTATCACACAGTTAGTTTTAATAAGAGTAAATCAATATACCTATAATCATAGACCGCGCGAGCTTGTTTCCGTAGCAGAGCGACCCTCACGAGGCGACAAATGATACGATGGAGAATTTAGAACTGAGCCTGCCATCACTGGGTACCATATCCAGACATGTTGACAAAAGTCACAACGAACTGTCCCAATATCTATCAAAACAGGTAAGATGTGTTCATTTCTAGTGTGTATTAAACAAAACTGTGTGTCAGACTGTTTTAATTTGACTCAAGACGTGCGTGCGTGCGTGCAGTTACCTTCCCTTCACATGTCAGTGGTCACTCACTGTGCCTCATATTAGTGTGTTGTGTCATTAAAAGCATTCTGCTGCCATAATAATACCCATTATTATAATGCTTAGTAGACATATTGATGTATGTGTTTATTTCAACCAATCAATATGGACCTTTCCTCTGTGATCTCTCCTCAGATATGGAGCCAGCAGGACAGGCAGTGTATTCTGGACTGTGTGTCTCAGCTGCTGCTGGAGAAGGACTATACTTTACTGATTGCTCGACATCTGAGGCCCCTGGTGTTGGACCTTTTGGAGCGAAACGCAGAGAGGGTCAAAGCTGGGGGCCGGATCAACCATGACCTCCACGAGCGCCTGTGTGTGGCCCTCAGCAAACTGCTCGGCATCAGTCCTGATGCTCAGGCGTAAGTAACACACTCCTATTTTCTTTGGTGAACTTCAGAAATGTCCCCTCTATTCAGCAGAGCACCCAAAGATGCTCGGGGTGCTGCAGCTGGACACATGGCTGGGTTTAATCAGTGGGTCTATACAGTTTATGGTCTAACCCTAACCTTCGTCACAGCAGAAATGTTGTCAAGCATTACACAAGTTAAACATATTTAAAAGATACAAATATAATACAAAATAAACATTACATTAGCAGCAAGTATATACAAATTCAGTATGTAGTATCTAAATAATACACAATATAAAGAAAATATTGAATACATTGAATACTCTACAGCAGTGGTTCTCAACTGGTCAGGCCTCGGGACCCACTTTTTCCTTTGTCAATAAATCGCGACCCAAAATGTTGAACCACTCAAATCTATTCAACAAAAAATCGTGCAGTAATATATATACGCTTTTCAGCATACAATGTTAATGAAAGTGAAGTACAGTGCATATATCCCTTATATCCCTTCACAGAACTAAAGTATGCTTTAAAAAAGGTTTAATGAGATGATGGAATCAAAGCTGAACTATAACATAAAAAGGCACACATGTCGGGGGGGATTCTCTCCAGGAGATTTTTAGAAATACTAATGTATAAACTACGCATTCTGGTACACTCTGAGAAGAAAATAAATAAATCTATTACTACCCGACATATTAATAATATGTTATGCCATTGTTTGTTTTTCACTTTGTTCTGACAGCTTGCTGCTCCTCACAGAGAGAAGAGCAAAGAGGAGAGAGTCTGTGTGACTTACTTTAAATCGTGGGTAAGGGTAGATGGCTCCCATTAGCCGCTTTCACACCAAGTACTTAGTTCCCAGCACTTAGTTCCCCCATGGAACTAAAGAGCAGATCGCGTTCACACCAGAATAAGTTCCCTGAGGGAAGATTACGCAAATGAAGCCGCTGACGTCACTTCTTCTACTTCTGCTTTGGGTTTACTGGCAGGCCGCAAACAACTTCACGGCGTATACTGCCACCCGAAGTCCCCGGAGTTAGGGACTGGCTTCAGTAGAAGCTGCTGGAACTCCCAGCAGCTTCTACTGAAGCCTTCTGAGTAAATCGCCAGAACGCCGACACCATTTTTATCTGAAGTTGTACCCATGGATGTATAAAGAATAGTTCTACCGCCAAGTTATTCTCCGTGGGGACTTCCGGCAACAATCTTGATTCTGTTTGGCCAGAAGACTCGAAAAAACATCAGCAAAGATGTTTTATTGAGAAGATGATCACTACGTGACAGAAGTTTTCAAAACCGTTTATGGTCTCCGGTACTTCCAGTCCATACATGGATCGGATTTTGAGGCGTAGTCATGGGGGAGGGGGTCTGCAGTTCGGTGGACTAAGGATTGCACCACTGCTTTTTGCAGATGATGTGGTTCTAATGGCTTCATCGGTCTGCGACCTTCAGCACTCACTGGATCGGTTCGCAACCGAGTGTGAAGCGGCTGGGATGAGGATCAGCACCTCCAAATCTGAGGCCATGGTTCTCAGCAGGAAACTGATGGACTGTCCACTCCAAGTAGGGAATGAGTCCTTACCCCAAGTGAAGGAGTTCAAGTATCTCGGGGTCTTGTTCTCGATTGAGGGAACAATGGAGCGTGAGATGGGCCGGAGCAGCGGGAGCGGTACTGTAGTCGCTTTACCGCACCGTTGTGACGAAAAGAGAGCTGAGGTGTTCCAGGCACGTCCAGCTGGGAAGAGACCAAGGGGTAGACCTAGGACCAGGTGGAGGGATTATATCTCTTCGCTGGCCTGGGAGCGCCTTGGGATCCCCCAGTCAGAGCTGGTTGATGTCGCCAGGGAAAAGAAAGTTTGGGGCTCTCTGCTAGAACTGCTACCCCCGCGACCGACCACGGATAAGCGGGAGAAGATGGATGGTACTTCCAGTCCAACGCCTACTGCATGCACAGCGTTAGAAAATCGGGCCTTCAAAATAAAAGTTTGACTTTTTTATTTTAATTTTAAAATGTCTTTTTCTTCACTCACACATCTGCGACCCACTCGAAACGGGACCCACTTTTGGTTTGCGACCCACCAGTTGAGAACCACTGCTCTACAATATACGATCTCACTAAGCTATAGACATGTATAGAAACATACTACAGACTAGGGATGGGAATTTGAAAGCAAATGTATATTCGACCCCCAAAGAAACGGTTAACCGAAATGTAAATATCCTATATAAAATAAAAATGTTGACAACAAAAAAATAAAAAATTTGAAAAATAAATAAATACATGTTCAAATAAGTGTAGAAACCAAGTCGAATTTGTCAAATGTATTGAACTGGTGATCACAGTTTGAACAGTTGACAGCTATAGGCCTACAGCTTTCATGCTTAAAACATAACTTGGTTTTGAAATGAAAGAGGGATCATACACGAACAACATAACGGGTCAGGGTAACGTAACCCTATTACAACAGAGATCAACAACCTATAACAGGGCCTATGCACAGAATGCTGCTATTCAATACTCATTCTTCTTTAAGACTATGAGCATGTCTACTCAGGGGAGAGGCGATTCACAATCAGGCCAGCTGTAGAGAAGACCCTCTCAGCTGGAATGTGGGCCTAAGATGAGGTTTGAGTCTGCGTGATCTGCGTGTAGGGAGGGGCAGCAGCCATATCATTAGCTAGAACTAGCTAGATCTGATGGATTTGGACATAAACGCGAGTGAAGTATAACCGGACGCGAGAGAGAGAGATCAGCACCTGCAGCTCTGTCCGCTGTGAGGGACCGGTGAGCGGAGCAAAACACACCTTTAGACGTCAACTAACACATTTAGCTATGGCACTGTCGTATACATTGAATTATTACATTTGATAATATGTAATCAACTTAGGCACCCCTCCCAAAAGAAATAAAAATATAAAAAATGTAAATTACAATAAAAATATTCATAACTCATATTCGAATACCTGAATCATTTCCAATATTCGATTAATCGTTCCCATCCCTACTACAGACACATATTGGCATTGGATTACATGATAAAAGGCTGAACCCCTGTCCTGTGTAATCCACTGTTCTCCATCAGGTTTGCTGCCAGGTACTTCAACAATGCCCCCCCAGTGTTTCAGAGGCTCTTCTTCACCAGTGAAGAGGCGTCGGCTGTTCAGTACGGCCCGCGGAGGATGAAGCTGCGGGACCTCATGGGGGCCACCTTGCGCTTCCTCCAGAGTGACTGTGCCAAGTTCCGGATGCTGTGGGACTGGAGCCCTTGTGTGTCCCAGCTGCTCACCAGTGATGTCATGGTGCGAGGGTATGTACCGTCCCTGGGGGGTCTTCAGGGGCCACAAGAGGCATTTCCAAAGTATCCACTTAGTTAGCTTGCAGAAACTTAGAACTTGCTAAACAGAGTCAATCTAAAACATTAAGTGTTATTATTCTCTAAATAATGTTGTAATAATAATAGTTTGTAATCATTCACCTATATGATGAAGATTTCACATTTATTTTTCACAAATATGGTTCAAGTTTCTACAATTGGCCTATTTGACAGAAGACGTTTTGACATGTCACAATATTTAAAGCACATTTGTAAATAACAAACTGGCTGACGGCTGAATTTCCTGCAGCTTTTTTCCATTCGAGGGTCCTGTTCATGCCAGCTCGATGTCGCACTTGAATAAACCACAGGATCATTTCAAAAATCCAAGTTATTATTGTTGGCTTCTACAACCGTCATAAGCTTTATTCTGAAACAGTAGACTAGCTTAAACTAGAAATGCTCATTTTGACTTGTTGAGTTTATTTGGCAGTGTTAGGTTTCTGAAGCAAAATATTTTATTTGTATTTACCCTTATTTAACCAGGATAGGTCTCATTGAGATAACAAATGTATTTTTCAAGAGAGTCCTGGCCCAAGATTGGTAACAGTACAGTTACAGACAATTTATGTAACATTCATCAGTATAGTTAACAAGCTGCAAGTGTTAATTTAAAAAAAGCAGTGCAGTAGAGTGTGAGAAATCACCAGATCAGCAGCTCTTTATATAGCCTCCAGTGTTTCTCCTTTAGCATTGTTAGCAGAAGTGATTGACAGCTCTGAGATCAGTAGGTCATGGAAGGAAGATATCCATTGCTTGATAAATACAGTATGTGGGGGTTTCCATCGTGTTATGAGAATTCCTTCTTCTGCAGTTAAACAAGCGTGAAGCACCCTTTTCTGATGCTTTAATAAATTGATAGAGGAATCATCGTTCAGCTATACAATGTTTGGGAGTCACGGTATCTGAACTGAGCTCAGATATAATGTCAAGAACTCTCAAACTTTCTACAGCTTTTCTACAACATCTTGGCCTTCTTTTGCTTTCTGCTTGTTTACCTTACAAATGAGACTTACTGTGTTTTCTTGTTGTGTGTCACAGGTACACAGCCCAGTGTTTAGCGCTGGTCTCTCATATGACTGATAATCAGAAAACCATCTTCCAGAGGAAAGTGCTGACCAGTGATGAGATCCTGCACATGAAACTCAAGTATGTTCCTTTTGTCATATCAGATAACAGCCACTATAAAGTGTTAGAAAATACTAATATATATATATTTAATATATGGCTAGTCTTATATATTATGTTCTACATAAGGGGAGATCTGTTGAATTTTTTTATGAAAGGCCAACACTTTTTTTTAAGAAGACATTGAACTAAACAAATACTACACAGTACAACAAATATTTATTTTAATAATTTAAACACTTCCAAGTATTCTGCAACAACCCCATAATGTGATGTTGTAATGTATTTCTAGGGTTATTTAGCTGTTTAGTAGAAATGTCAACCAAGTCCAGTGAAAAATGGAACAATATATAACATAACCCGGGATGCCTCGGTGAGTTCGTATGAAATGAACCATAAGTAGGGCAGAGCATTATGGGTTAGAAGTTTAGTTTCCATATCCATAAGTGGTAAAACAGGTTTTCAGATTTTAGTTTTTACTAGGTACCCTTTAATACGAACAATACAATCTGAAAAAAACTCAATTACAAGTCAAAGTATGAATTCCAAATGTTAGAGAATAAAGGTACAGAACTCTCGTCTCGGTTTTATAACTTTTTCTTTGTTGCTTCTTAAGATCTTTGGAAGAAAGCCAGCAGCTGGAGGTAGAGAAAGCTCTGGTGTTAGCCAATCAGGGCTCAGTGGTGTGGCGCCAGGAGAAAGCCAATAAGTTCACCAGAGGCCAGGTGGTGTCAGAGGACCTCTCCCAGAACGTGGTGGCAGTTTGCGGCGTCATCCTTCCCAGGATAGCTCCTCGACTGCCCGAACAGGTATTTACCCTTTAGTTTGTCCCATCAAAATACTCTGCTGTGGACCTTATTGAGCATTTATGAGCAGCCAATCATTAGACGGGCACAAAAGATTACATCTGATCCCACCCACATCCTCCACCCAGAGTTCCAGATTTGTGCAATGTAGTCACTGTCAGTATGTTGTCTGTGTAAGTGCAAACTGTGTACATGTAGTTTACCCCAGTGGGAATATGGTGTTTTCTTTAATCGTGTACTATGTAGTATTTATGATTTGACCTTGCGAGACCATAAAGTGTATCATATGGTGTTTTGGTCCTGATGCTGATCTCACTTGCAGAGCAACCAAAAGGATCTGGTGCTGGTGGACTCAACGTGCCGGAATCTGAGGAGACTGGCTCTGGCCGTGGCTTCCCAGAAGCCTGTGCTGCTCGAAGGTCCCATTGGCTGTGGAAAAACTGCCCTGGTGGAGTTCATGGCTGCCGTCACAGGACACACAAAAGCTACAGACATCCTGAAGGTGCAGCTCGGGGATCAGACCGACAGCAAGGTGAGAGCACACAGGAAACACAGTTTACTGAGGCGGGGAGTACTCAGGAAGCGGGGGGGTTCAATTAACAACAGCATGGAGACGTATAATGGTAATTGTAGGATCTAGTATATTTGGAGCTTATGTTCCACACTTGGACTTTAAAGGGACTTCCAGGGCCCTTTCTCATTTCTCTAACTCCCCTCCTCGACTCCTATCCTCGAGACTTAGTCCCGCCCACAGGAGATGCGAGCGGAGGAGAGAGGAGGGGAAGCAGCAGGCGGTTAGAGAAATGAGAACTCCTCTCCTCTGAGCGGTCATTTTAAAGAGACGTCCATTAATGATGACAGGAGGCACAGCAGCCCTCTGTCTGATGGACAGATGTGTTCATGACGACTTATATATTTACTTTGATTCATTCACAGTGCGGTATAATGAGACAATAACAGATGCAGACACACACACACACACACACACACACACACACACACACACACACATAAATATATACAATTTCAGAATCAAACAGAGCACTCTCATAATAACGTAACACTATCAGAGACTGGATATATAGCCCCCCCCCCCCTCTCTGGTCGCTACAATGGGGAAAATAAATTACGGGCCAAAAGTTTTATTTACAAGTATTAAAAGTAAGCAGAGGACACCAAACCAACTGAGACCTGTCTGTCCGCTGCATCTACGCACACACTGTACCACACACACCTACACATAATCAGGCTACAGCCGTTGTGTATTTTATTATGTGAAGCACTGAATGGTTTTAGAAAAATATCGACTCTTTGTTTGTAGATATCTACTAAACTACAGCATATACAGAGAGTAGGCCTGTTATACTGAGTGATATATATTATACACACTGCTCTGCTTTCTGCATGGACCTCACAGCTGTTCTCTCTGTAAACATCTCATCGCGATGAAAGCAGTTAATAAAATAATATCCAGGGGATGCATGCAGAGCTGTAATTGGCTGAGATAAGTCCGGCCGTGCGTCACGACTCTTTGAAACATCTCTGTTCCCGGAAATGCATCCGCGGAGGAGCCGTGGAGGACCCATCAGTGTCTCCTCGGTTAGAGCTCCTCCAGAGAGCCTCCTAGATGCTCGATGCTCGGTCCTCGACGTGCATTTAGAGAAATGAGATGTCCTTCAACATGGCGCGCTAAAATTCATTTACGGGTCACTACCGGAGGACCGAGGAGTCGAGGAGGGGGATTTGATGAAATGAGAAAGGGCCCAGGCGTGCATTCGTTTAAAACAAAGAAACTTGTCAAAACTACGATAAATACAATCTAAATATATATATGTATTACCGCCAGCTTGTGACAGTTATTCATATACAATATGTGACATGCTCTATCGAAATCAGTCGCATTGACCCGAAGACACCTTTTGAGTTGTATACACTGTTTGAAAGAGGAGATTCCTAGCTTTCTAATGATATCAGGATTGTTTTTGTACTCCAAATATTAAGCGAAATATGTCACATTATATAAAGACTGTCACCGAGTCATCATTTTGAGAAAAAGGCCTTTAAAGTTTTCTCTTCTCTGGAATCCATCGATCTGATTGGTTATTAGCGGAGCAAATGATCAAAGTAGTACGGAGGGAAGATATTTTCGTTTGGATTACTGGTCTGGGGGAAGCTCGCGCGTGTGTGTAATTTTGCGTTTGTTTCCCGGGGAAAACCCTCAGGAGAAACACCGGCTGTTGTTATGCCTGCTGTGACGTCAAGTTACTCCGTTCTCCGCTTGTAATTATGCCGAAGCTTCAAAGCTGTATTTATCATCTGAATTTGCCGAAACAAGTTTTAATATTCATAAAGTCAAGACTTTGTTTAATTGAAATCAGATGAAAACAAACTGTAACGGACCCTGCCGTGTTATTTATGATCACTATACGCGTACATTCATAATGTCAGCTGGAGGGAGGGGGGGCGGCGCTGCGGAAGAGCAGAGTGCGAGTGAGAGCTGTCTTCTTCCCTTTTTAAAAGCTTCAAAAATATATTTATCGTGTGATTTTGGAAATAAAAGTTTCATATTCTGAAAGCCAAGACTTTGTTTGTTTAAAATCAAACAAAACACCGAACCCCGATTTTTTTTTTTTACGCAAATCCACGTTTATTTTGAAATGAGCCGTTGCGACTTCCGACTGATTTCGATAGAGCGGGTCACAAACACATTTGTTTCAATACTTTTATACAACAGGTACAGGTACAGGTAACTCATTCCATGAGTTACCTGTACCATACAAGAGCACAAGCACATCACTGCAGGAGGCTGCATACACTCTGTCTAATAAACAATGATTTGACCTCTTTGCGTTTCACCTAAAGGACCCTGAGCTGCCCTCTGTGTCTGTGTGAGCTTTACTCCATGTATTTGTAACTTTACCTACTAAATGTTAAAATTCACATTGCACATGAACATATCAGGAAATGACAGGTTAATTAAATAACAAAAAAGCTATAAATGAAGTGCTTTTGCAATATGCTATGCTAAAGTCAGGGTGTCTCTGCCTTTGCTACTTGGATTTTGCTCGTTATATGCTTCTCTGTCCCTAAACTTTATGGATGTTCAAATATGAAATAACAGGGCTCCCGGTGTCTCACCTTGTAGAACACATGACCCATATAGCAGGGATGAATTTTTACCTTTGGAGTGCCGCCTCTAACATTGAATCTGGATGAGATGGAGGTGAACATCTGTCCTGTCTTGTGTGTGTGTCCCAGATGCTGCTGGGGATGTACCGCTGCACTGATATCCCGGGGAAGTTTGTGTGGCAGCCCGGGACGCTGACTCAGGCTGTCTCTAAAGGCCAGTGGATCCTCCTGGAGGACATCGACCACGCGCCTCTGGATGTGGTGAGTTCACACTTGTTGAGAACTGTATAAAATATGGCCTTAACCCTTGGGTTGTCTCACCTTCCACGTTGCAATGTTTGTCTTGGTTTGACTGTTAAGAAAGCATATAGTATAAATCACCATCCAAATATACATAACCCTCTTTAAGCAAACACATTTTCAGTTTTAACTTATCTTTTTTTAAACGTATAAACAACATTTGACTTCAGTTTTTTGAGTAAAAAAAGCCAATGTTTTTACTATAGTTAAGATCAGAGGAACATATGGCAATAGATTAGAACAGGCTTGTATATGTCAAAGTTGAGTAAGAATTCTGTTTTTAAATCAACTTTTAAGATAGATAGACATATAGGTACTTTATTGATCCCAAACTGGGAAATGATTTTGTTTCAGCAGCAGTGTGTTCAGGCATTCAAATCTTTAAATGGCAGCACATAGTGACACCAGATGCACCATTGACATTAGTGATAATTATGTTATTTTTGTGGCAATTAAATGAAATGACCCCTAATTTTTACATAAAAACATTCAAAACGGGTCAAATTTGACAGGAAGGTTATTATATATTCAATATTGGGGATCGACCCATATGGCTTTTTCAAGGCCGATACCGATTATTAGTAATCAAGGGGACCGACAACCGATATTTGGAACCGATATATATTTGCAGTAAAATCAAAATGTGTCAAAATGTAGAATAACACAAACTCCAACATAACTCAACACAACTTCTTTGAAATGCATTTAGGCATATATTATGTTTAATGCATTTTTAAACATCTTACAACTGGTTTCCTCTCTGTGCCCTTTTCTTTAGTGCAGCCATCTGCAATGAGTTAGAGAGAGACAAGAAGTGGGGCTGCAGGCTGACATGCTTAACTAACAATAATGCTTAAGTTATTATATCAAAACAATGCCTGTCTATCTAGCATAACATCCCAATAAGCTGCTTGCAACTGCAAAACACTAGTGCTAGCTAATGTTTTGCAAACTATTAAAAGTGAGGCTATTACAGTAGACCTAACGTTAGTCTAGTAGCCTCACTTCTAATATGTTGCTAAACATTTGCTAGATACATGTTGGCTAGCTAATGAGCTTCACATATCAACCTGAAAAACTGCGAGGCTCCACTTGCAGCCCCTCCCCCTCCGCACCACAGTTACTCCGCTGCGAGACGCTGCACGCACCCCCAACTCTGACTGACTTCCCGCGTCCCTGTGTAACTGGGAAACTGATTGAATTGGATCATAAGATCGTGGTGTTTTTGCAACTTCAGCATAGGGGATAGGGATGTTTATTGAACTTCGGTTTAACACATGTATGGCTCTGCCGCTCAGCCGCTCAGCGCTGCTGCTTGCTTCAGTCTGTGTCTGCGTTCTTTCGCACCTGCCTGTAATCTGAGAAGGTCCCGCCTCTCTGGCTGGCTTCAGTGTTGATTGACACTTCAGTAATAGCCTATCAGATAGCGCTGTGGGCGGGACTTTGCTCGTGTACACAGAGTGGTGACTGCAGCCAGAGAAACGGCCGCATCAGAGCCAAAGTTTTATCGGCAATTTGATTTTAAAAAAAGGCCGATACCGATAATCGGTAAAATGCGGAATATCGGTCGACCCCTATTCAATATATCTTAAAACGTATAAACAGCTTGATGTTTGTTGTGAATGAAAAAACCCACAACTGTATTTGTCTCTTAGATCTCCGTGCTCCTGCCTCTGATGGAGAATAAGAAGCTGATGATTCCTGGACGGGAGGACTGCATCGACGTCGCTCCTGGGTTTCTGTTCTTTGCAACAAGAAGGTAAGAAAATAATATCATTATGAATCAGCTGTTTGTAGAGATATGACTATTTGGAGGTTGGATAGTGAGTTTAGTTTTTTCCTCTTTGGTAAGGTTTTTGTATTTGACACCTACCCACAAATGGAGCAGAACAGGAAGCACTGTTTGGGGGCGTCGTTTAAAAAGATGAAAGCCACAAAAGTGCTCATGAACAGTTTAGCTATTTGAGACAAGCAATTTACAGCCAGTTAAGAACAATTGGTAGGCAGTGTCAGGATAAGAAAGGATATACACTGAACAAAAATATAAATGCAACACTTTTGTTTTTGCTCCCATTTTTCATGAGAGGAACTCAAAGATCTAAAACATTTTCTATATACACAAAATAACCATTTCTCTCAAATATTGTTCACAAATCTGAAAAAATCTGTGATAGTGAGCACTTCTCCTTTGCCGAGATAATCCATCCCACCTCACAGGTGTGGCATATCAAGATGCTGATTAGACGGCATGATTATTGCACATGTGTGCCTTAGGCTGGCCATAATAAAAGGCCACTCTGAAACGTGCATTTTTACTTTATTGGGGGGGTCTGAAAACCAGTCAGTATCTGGTGTGAGGGGTAGGGTTAGGGTAATGTTGTGAGTCGAGTGGCCTGTGTTCGTCGTCCATAACATACGCCTGCCCATACCATAACCCCACCACCACCATGGGCCACTCGATTCACAAGATTACCCTAACCCTAACCCTCACACCAGATACTGACTGGTTTTCTGACCCTCCCATGACCCCCCCCTAATAAAGCAAAACTGCACGTTTCAGAGTGGCCTTTTATTGTGGCCAGCCTAAGGCACACCTGTGCAATAATCATGCTGTCTAATCAGCATCTTGATATGCCACACCTGTGAGGTGGGATGGATTATCTCGGCAAAGGAGAAGTGCTCACTATCACAGATTTTTTCAGATTTGTGAACAATATTTGAGAGAAATGGTTATTTTGTGTATCCATCCATGAGGCCAAATATTTTTGCACATTTGTAAGGCAAGGCAAGGCAAGGCAAGTTTATTTATATAGCACTTTTCAACACAAGGCAATTCAAAGTGCTTTACAAAAAATGAAAGAGATTAAGAAAATGGCATTTAAAATCAGTCAATTAAACATTAAAAGAAAAAAAAAGTACATGGATAAAAGTTACAGTGCAGTCTAAGATATGAATAGTTCAATTAAAAGCAGCGACAAAAAGAAAAGTCTTCAGCCTGGATTTAAAAGTAGTCAGAGTTGCAGCGGACCTGCAGGTTTCTGGGAGTTTGTTCCAGATATTTGGAGCATAATAACTGAATGCTGCTTTACCATGTTTAGTTCTGACTCTGGGGACAGAAAGCTGACCAGTCCCTGAAGACCTGAGAGATTTGGATGGTTCATAATTTAGCAGGAGGTCAGAAATGTATTTTGGGCCTAAACCATTCAGTTCTTTATAAACCAGCAGCAGTATTTTGAAATCTATTCTTTGACATACAGGAAGCCAGTGTAAAGACTTCAGAACTGGAGTGATGTGATCCACTTTCTTAGTGTTAGTGAGGACTCGAGCAGCAGCGTTCTGAATTAGTTGCAGCTTTCTAATAGATTTTTTAGTGAGACCTGTGAAGACACCATTGCAGTAGTCGAGTCTACTGAAGATAAAAGCATGGACAAGTTTTTCCAAATCCTGCTGTGACATTAGTCTTTTAATCCTAGATATATTCTTTAGGTGATAGTAGGCTGATTTAGTAACTGTTTTAATGTGACTGTTGAAACTCAGGTCAGAGTCCATGACTACACCTAGATTTCGGGCTTTATCTGTTGTTTTGAACATTGCAGACTGAAGCTCAGCGCTAACTTTTATACGTTCTGACTTGGCTCCAAAAACCATTACCTCAGTTTTATCTTTGTTTAATTGGAGAAAGTTCTGACACATCCAGTCATTGATTTGTTCAATGCACTTACTCAGTGTTTGAATTGGAGCATAGTCTCCTGGTGAAATTGTTACGTAAATTTGTGTGTCATCTGCATAGCTATGGTAACTTATTTTGTTGTTTTTCATTATCTGAGCCAGTGGTAGCATGTAGATGTTAAAGAGAAGAGGCCCCAAGATGGAGCCTTGAGGAACCCCACATGTCATATTTGTCAACTCAGATGTGTATTTACCTATAGAAACAAAGTTGTTTCTGTCCTTTAAGTAGGATTCAAACCAATTCAGAACTACACAAGGTGCCTCTCTCAGTATCTACACAGCTTTCCTCTTTTCATAACAATACTGAGTATACTGTACATAGTTTTTTGGTATATCTATATTTCATATAAATCATTTTCTAATCTTATAATAGTTTTTATTTTTGGGTGGTTTTTCTTACATTTTATCTTTAAATGTGCTTGATGTATGCACCATATACACCAAGGCAAATTCCTCGTATGTGTAAACCTACCTCAATATTCTGATTCAATAAATCCTGTATACCAGCATTCAGCTGTAGAATAGGGATGGAAGTAGTTTTGTGATAAATGAGAACTTAATAAAGTTCAAACCCAGCCGACGTAAGCCTTGCCAGTCCCTGCCTAAAGTAAGCATGGTATGACTTTTGTTCTGCCGGTGTTTTCAGGATGTACTACAGCGGGGGCAGTTGGCACAAACCACAGAACTCTCACGCTGCGCTGCTGGACAAATACTGGACCAAGCTGCAGATGGGGAACATGCCCAGAGAAGAGCTGAAGAAGGTGAGTGATGCACCCCCACAGCTGCACAGCCATACTGCCTATCAGCCCGCTATTTACAGAGGAATACATGGACGTCATATAGGTGTTATGTATAGGTGCTGAATCAGCTGATAGAGCTTTGGGAGAAACCAGTGTTGGAGTAAAACCCTGAAGGAAGGAAGGAAGCGTCCAATCATACTCAAACACGTTGCTGGGGTTACGGGCCTTCCACATGTTGTTTTTCTGGGGCTCTCATTGAAGATGACGTCACGGCTCCGCCTACACTGCGTTACTATAGTAACTACCCCAGTTCCTAAACTGTAATGGAAGCGCAGCATTAAAGTGAGCCGGGCCTAATAATGCCTAACCAAACCGAGCGAGGCCTGCAGTGGAAACGCGCCATTAGTTCCCAGCACTTAGTTCCCAGCACTTATAGTCCAGCAGCAAGTCCTCAAAAAAGGCTTTAGTTTTCGAGATACCCCTACCCGAGGTAGAACAAAACACAACAATGATTTTTCTTATCTTTAGGGTCTCCCATTAATGAAATTGATTGTTGTCAAATTTTATTTTGGGGAAAAAAATGTTTTTTTGGTTGTTCTTTAGAACTACCCTAATCCCTGAAAAGAGCCAAATTAGACCAGGCCGAATGTGGGAAAGGTGACAAAAAAGCCCATAACTTGAGAATGACAACTCTTTTCCTCTTCAGATTTGCTGAGGTATGAACCAGGGGCCTAATTTATAACGCCTTGCGTAGGATTCACGTGGGAAGGTTGCTTACGTAAAAAATAGGTACAGAAATATTCCGACATTTTCCGATTCACAAAACATTGTGTACCAGCGAGGGAATCAACTCGAAATGCGGTGCAGCTTTTGCGGGCTTCCCGTCACACGCATATTTGCCTATAAATAGTCATTGATACGCCCATAATGAATATTCATCAAACCGATTTCAGGCAAAAACGAACATGGCAAAGACAGAAAAAAGAGGCAAGAAAAGAAACTTCAATAACTGTGAAGTTGAAATCCTTGTCGGAGAAGTAGAGACAAGGCAAAACATTTTGTTTGGTGGCCATAGTATTGGCGTAACGAATGCCAAAAAGGCAACAGGTCTGCAGGTCTCCCTTGAAAAAGAGATCATTGATCTCATGGGGATTTTACCTGGATAAATAAAGGTTTTGAATTGAATTGAACAGAGTGGCAGTATGTGGCAGATCCTGTCAACTCTGCATCAGCACAGGGTCGCACTGTCGCTGAAATAAAAAGAAAGTGGTCGGACATTAAGGTGGACGCCAAAAAACGCCTGGCCTCACACAGGCAGAGTGTGTGTGCCACGGGAGGGGGAAAGGGGGCACCGGAGCTCACCCCTATGGATGAAAGACTGGCCGGTATAATCGGCGAATCCCTGCTGAGTGCTAGCCATAATAAGACGAAGATTCGTCATAATCATAATGTATATTAATACTAGTTATATGGCTTCCTTTTTACTCTATATGGTATGTAATATAGAGTGGCACCTAAAGCTGAATCTGTGTTAACCCTTGTTGTAGCCTACTACTGTTAAAAGTTATTATCGATAATTGATTTTAGACCATGCAAGCTTTTTTAATCACAGAAACGTATAGTTGCACACCGAGGTGTGCCCGTCACCAGACGCACAGAATAGCCTACCTCAGATGTAACGTAATGTTCTTCCCTTTTTAGAAATTATAGTAAACCGAGTGCAATTAAGCTGGGTTTGCACAGACTAGTACATTACATTACATTACATTGCATTGCATTTAGCTGACGCTTTTATCCAAAGCGATTTACAATAAGTACATTCGACCAGGAAGACACAACCTTGAAGAAAACAGAATCATATAAGTACATCAGGTTTCATAGAGCCAAACATTTCAAGTGCTACTCAACTGGCTTTAGATAAGCCAGTCCTTTATTAGTATAAAAGTGCTTCGTTAATAGTTCTATCGCTCGAAGTGGAGTCGAAAGAGATGAGTTTTCAGTTTGCGCCGGAAGATGTGCAAGCTATCTGCCGTCCTGATGTCAATGGGGAGCTCATTCCACCATCCTGGAGCCAGGACAGCAAACCCACGTGTTTTCGCCGATGGGAACTTGGGTCCCCCTCGCAGCGAGGGTGCAGCGAGTCGTTTGGCTGATGCAGAGCGTAGTGCACGCGCTGGGGTGTACGGTTTAACCATGTCCTGGATGTACGAAGGGCCAGATCCATTCGCAGCATGGTAAGCAAGTACCAGTGTCTTGAAGTGGATTCTAGCAGTTACCGGAAGCCAGTGAAGGGTGTGGAGGAGCGGAGTGGTGTGGGAAAATGTAGGAAGGTTGAAGACCAGACGAGCCGCTGCATTCTGGATGAGCTGCAGAGGTCGGATGGCACATGCAGGTAGACCAGCCAGGAGGGAGTTGCAGTAGTCTAGGCGTGAGATGACGAGAGCCTGGACCAGAACCTGAGTCGCTTTCTGTGTCAGCTGGGGACGTATCTTCCTGATGTTGTAAAGCGTGTATCTGCAGCAACGGGTTGTAGCAGCGATGTTTGCAGTGAAGGACATGTTGTTATCTAGGGTCACACCCAGATTCCTTGCAGTCTGAGTCGGGGAAACAACAGAGGTGCCGATGTTGATTGTTAGGTCAAGAGTGGGACAATCTTTTCCCGGAAGGAAGAGCAGCTCAGTCTTGTCAAGGTTGAGCTTGAGGTGATGAGCAGACATCCACTGAGAGATGTCAGCTAGACAAGCAGAGATGCGTGCGACGACCTGGGTCTCTGAGCGGGGAAAGGACAGAATTAATTGGGTGTCGTCAGCGTAGCAGTGGTAAGAAAAACCATGAGGGCTAATGACTGATCCGAGCGAGTTTGTGTACAGGGAGAAGAGGAGGGGACCAAGAACAGAGCCCTGAGGGACCCCTGTAGTTAATTGACAAGGGTCGGACTCAGACCCTCTCCAAGTCACCCTGTAGGTACGGTCTTTCAGGTATGAGGTGAGGAGGGAAAGTGCAGAGCCTGAAACTCCAAGTTTTTGGAGAGTGCGAAGGAGGATCTGATGATTCACCGTGTCGAATGCAGCAGACAGGTCCAACAGGATGATGACAGAGGAGAGGGATGCAGTTTTGGCAGTGTGCAGTTCCTCCGTGACAGCAATGAGAGCAGTTTCTGTGGAGTGACCTGCCTTGAAACCAGACTGGTGCGGATCCAGAAGGTTGTTCTGATTGAGATAACAGGAGAGTTGTTTAAAGACGGCGCGTTCAAGTGATTTAGACAGGAACGGGAGGAGAGAGACAGGCCTGTAGTTTATAACATCAGACGGGTTGAGAGTGGGTTTCTTTAGGAGAGGGTTTACTCTTGCCTCCTTGAGACTGTTTGGAAAGTGACCAGAAGTTAGAGAAGTGTTGATGAAATGGGTGAGAAACGGTAGAATATCAGGAGCGATAGTCTGAAGGAGGTTTGAAGGGATAGGGTCCAGAGGACAGGTGGTAGGGCGGGCAGAGGTAATGAGGGTAAGAACCTCACTTGGAGAGAGAGGGGAAAAGGAGGTTAGTGTGTTGGTGGAAGGAGGGTCTGGTGACCCAGCGGTGAGTAAAGGTGAGTCAGAAAAAGAAGAGCGAATATCATCAACCTTTTTTCAAAGTGGGTAACAAAGTCGCTTGACAGAAGTGAGGAGGGGGAGGGGCTTTTGGAGGGTCCAAGAGGGTGGAGTAGATGGAAAATAGTTTTTTAGGATTGGAATAGGAAGATTGGATCTTATCTTGAAATAAAGTGCTTTTTGCCTGAGAGATCGAAGCAGAGAAAGAGGAGAGGAGAGCCTGATAGGTTAGGAGGTCGTCACGGTGTTTGGATTTCCACCGTTTCCGCTCTGCTGCCCTAAGGACGGTTCTATTAGCACGCAGTGCATCATTTAGCCAGGGAGCAGGAGGGGACTGACGAGCCTGCCGAGATGTGAGAGGACAGAGAGAGTCCAGAGAGGATGAGAGAGTAGAGAGGAGAGTTTCTGCAGCAGAGTTTGGAGGCAGGAGTTGGAACGAGTCAGAGGAAGGGAGGGCTGAGAGCACCGATGAGGCAAAGGTAGAGGGGGAGAGGGAGCGAAGGTTACGGCGGACAAGTGCAGGATGAGAAGAGATTAGTTTGTTATGTTTGGAAAGGGGTAGAGAGAATGAAATGAAGAAGTGATCAGATGTGTGGAGCGGGTTTACAGAGAGGTTAGAAGTAGCGCAGTTCCTTGAGAATATGAGATCAAGGACATTGCCAGCTTTATGAGTCGGTGGGGACGGAGACAGTGAGAAAGCAAAGGCGGTTAACAGAGATGTTAGTTTGTCTATCTTCCCTGTCTGGAGGTTGAAGTCTCCGAGAAGTACAGCGGGAGGGCCAGTTTCAGGGATGTGTGAGAGGAGATTATCTAATTCCTCCAAGAAGTTCCCCAAGGCGCCTGGTGGACGGTAGAGAACAACAATGGTTAATTGTATAGGATGGGTTACTGTGACGGCATGGAATTCAAAGGTGGAAGGAGTGAAGTTAGGTAGTTTGAAGAGGGAAAAGCTCCATTTGGGAGAGAGCAGGAGACCAGTGCCACCTCTTCTGCCAGTTGGTCTGGGTGTATGGGAGAAGGAATATGCAGTGGAGAGAGCTGCTGGGGTGGATGTGTTGGATGGAGTAATCCAGGTCTCAGTGAGAGCAAGGAAATCCAGAGACTGCAGGGAGGCGTAGCCAGAGATGAAGTCAGCCTTAGGAACAGCTGACTGGCAATTCCACAGGCCACCTGAAACTAGATGTTGGATCTCAGTGGAGCATGTGGGATAGACGAGAGCAGGCCGGTTATATCGATTACGAGATACACGGGGCCAGTGATAATTGCGAGAAGACACATGAACAGGAATGGAGAAAATACACATGATTATAGCATGAGGGGCTAAACAACCAAATAAAATAAAACACCAGCGATACTTAGCTCAATCAAAGTAGGATTTGCCTCCTCTTTGCCTCCCTCGTGACTCCCGCAGGACTCTAATGTCTTTGCCAGTCT